GGAGATGCTATCAGTGTCAGAGAGAAGCATTGGACTGGTCCTGGTGACCAGCATAAGTGCCCTGGCAGCGGCTGCCCGCGACCTAGGACACATATCAGTGGATTGTGGGCGATGGTCGTTTTAAACAATTCCACGGATTGTGCGGTACCCGGTTTTTTTTTTTATACGATTTTCATCGCAAACTTTGAAATTTTGAGAGGTTTTGTTCTGTGCTTGTGTCAATCTTTGACTGCCCTAGTTGGAAGTGTGTTTTTGGTTCCAGGGGCGGATCTGGAGTACACTTTTAGGGGGAAAGTTATTGAGGAATGAAATTCATTTGAATTTAAAACCATTGCTTGGTTTAGTTTCAAATTAAAATGTATCGATAGTCGATTTTTTATGAAAAAAAACTTTTTTTCTTTATGGAAATTAACTAACTTACTTTATACAACAACTATTGGCTTTTAGGCAGATGATGGGGAAATATGGAAAACTTATTGGCAAATATAACCCGCAGAATTGGGCTTAACTCGCACATAGTATTTGTTATGATACTACGTTCAATAAGAATACTTTTGAGGGGGTCGGCCAGGTATCCCCCACTTTCGATCCACCTATGTGCGAATACGGGATCCGGAGTTCGGAGTCCGGACTCAAGGCCTCTCTCCTCGCGCGGGAGCGAGACAACAGCTGTGACCCCGCCGTCGCAGCTGCTCCACAACAAATTACACTTGCTCTCTTGCTCGCACCCGCTGGCGAAACGTTACATAGGAGAGGAGAGCAAAGGAGAGAGCATGACGGTGCGAGAAAGGAAGGGGGTCACAGGAAAAAGTGCGACATATTGCAACTTTGCAAAAGAAAGCGGCCGCAATTAATATTCCCATGGAATAAATCCAATAAACTTACTATTTAAATTAATTTTTTTCCACCAGCACTAAGGAGAAAGAAGTTTTGGGCCGAAAAGCCCTTCGCTTGGCTTGGGCTTCCCAACTCGGTTTTCGCAGCCCAATTTCGCACTGCTCCGCTGCGAATTTAACACTGCCGATCTAGCCAATAACACGGGCGTGGCTAAGCGCACCCAATTAGCCTAGCTTTACACATTCTAAACCACTTTTAGCTTAAACAAATCGGTCACAAAACGCGCAACGCCGTGCAGAGAAATTTTTTCAGCTGCCCTTACCCAAAAACTGTAATGGCGTCGGCAAAAATGCACGAGCGAGTGAAATGGCAATAGTGTTCGGGGCCAGTCGTGAGTGCAAACAATTGGCAACTCTGGCTGGCCAGGTGCGATATGTTTACGGTTTTCCAACACTACCCCTGTCACCTTGTAGTTGTTATTGTTGACAAAAACGAAATGTTCATGAATTTACTGGGGCAAAAACTCCAACTCACCTGCTTTATTTGTTCGCTGCTCTCATTAAAATTTCGCTTGTTCACGTGCTTGACCAGATTGCGTATGTGCGTTAGCGGTGTCTTCAGTTGGCTCTCTACGTTCATAATTCTACGTATCAGTTGTCAATTCCTGAGCGGATGTTTCTTGTTGTTGTTTTTGGGGGCCAGAATTTTTCGAGCACACACGTTTACAGAGTGCAATGGTATTGGAGATTAGAGATATTTGACGTATTCTCTGTTGCTTCTTCTTCTTGGCGCTTTTCTTTTCATCTACGGCGTAATTGTTTTTGTCTCTGTCTTATTTTTTTGTTCTTTTTTTGGGTCTGTGGATTCATTGGCCGCGGCCCCCGTGGAAAGGGGCCATCAGCAGCTCTACATCGCAGGCGGCATCTATTTTTGCATAAATCAAACAAACAATGAGCTCGTGTTCATAGGCCAGGTGAAATCGTTTTGTCTTTGTCCTCGGCCGAATAGATATATTGCAATAGCTCACGTAATGAAATAATATGAATCAATCTGCACGTACAGCGAAAACAGAAATGAAAAAATACTACTACTACCACACACACGCACGCACACAAAGGCAAAGGGGGAAAATTATAGTTGCTCCTCCTCGCGCTCTTTCCCCCACTTCCGTCCGGTTTTATTGCGGTTTATATCGCTTGTTTCGTTTGCTGGAGAAATCACTTCAGATTTTTAAAAAATATAATTGCCGAAAGTGTTTTTAACACCCAGGTTCGGTGTTCGAAATAACAAAAACGCCTTATGCGAAATCCCTAACGCGTAAAATGCAACACATTTCGGTATTTTCTTAATAGTTAAAAAAATACCAGAGTCGTTGTAGTAGGGTTGCCAAAATGTGCGAGCTTATCTACGAATAATAACGGTTATTTCGATATTTCTTAATTTAAATTTAAAATAATACTCTAAATGTGAAAATGTTATACAATTTTGAATATTTGTGGCAAAAGAAATATATTTAAAAATTATTTATAAGTTCAGCAGCAAAATAATAAAAATATGAATCAGGAATCCGTTCATTTCATTTGGTGTCATTTAATTATATATATGATATTTTCATGTTTAATATTTTTACTAATCCTGATTTTTAATGTAATACGTTCGACATATATAATTATTATATATTTGGATTACAAACAAATTTTAGATAAATACAATTTTCACTGATTGTAAATGTGTTTGCTCTAAGTAAACTTGTGTTCAGTTAATTTAAGAAAAGCTAGTTTTCTTTATGGTCTAGCTAAGTGGCAAAGAGTACCAATTAAAAGATGTTATAAATAAAACTAGAAAGATAATTTTTCCCCCATGACCATATTATTGAATACTTAGAACCGCGCGTAGGTATTTTTTGGGGGGCTTCTACCTGGTCACACCCCACCCCATCCAGTTGCATCCACCCACTCCGCCCCCACTTGGTGTACATAACAAACGGGCTTAATTGGCAATTGACCAGCGAGTTAAATGTGCGCGGCAGGCAGTCCCATATTCAGTGCGCTCCTCCGGCAGAATGTGTTCCTGCGAGGCGGTGGTGTCCTCCGGAACTGGGTCTCCATCCTGTCCCCGTCCCCTTGCAAACCGAACTCTCGATCCGAATCCCGCGCTTTCTCGTCGGACGCTGGGGCTTCCGCTCCAGCTGTTCCCGCACAGATCTCGCACCCAAAAACAGTGAGTGATTTCCAAAAGCTTCACGAAGCCACCAAAAAGAAGTTCCAATGTAAGCCTCAACCAGTCGCAGGCATATGCATATGCGTAGTATGTGCACGATCTATAAATACCCATCCGCAGAGTGGTCCCATTAGTAACACCCCCGTTTCCCCCAAATCACTTGACATTTTGCAGCCAAGAAGCTGCCCTCGGATGTACACCCCGATGCGGTGTTCGCCTGTAATGAGCTGGATCTCAGCGAGGTGCAGGTCTACGGATTCGACTATGACTATACCCTGGCCTGCTATAAGCCGATCCTGGAGGACCTACTGTACAATCTGGCCAGAGAGATGCTGGTGAAGAGGTTTCGCTACCCGGAGGACATCCTTGACCTGGAGTACGAGCCCAACTTTGCGGTGCGGGGCCTGCACTATGACGTTGAGAAGGGACTCCTCGTGAAGCTGGACAGCTTCCTGCAGCTGCAGTTGGGCTCCGTCTACAGAGGACGCACCAAAGTGGAGGCGGAGGAGGTGCTGAAACTCTACCACAACCGCCTGCTGCCCATAGCCTACGTGGAGGGGCCCAATAATAGCTATAGGGTTCGTATCTTATCACCTGGCTTAGATTCGAGTTTTGCAATCAGTGATTTACGATCTATTTCCCGAACAGCACAACACCAACTCCAAAATGGTGCAACTGGCTGATTTATTTTCCGTACCTGAAATGTGCCTGCTGTGCAATGTGATCGAATACTTTGAGCGCAATCGCATCGATTATAATCCGGAGATTGTTTTCCATGACACAAGGACCGCCATGGGCTCCTGCCATCCCATAATGCACGGCAAGGTTATGCTGAACACCGAAAAGTACATAGAACGCAACCCGAAGCTAGTCAAGTTCCTTGAGAAGCTGCAGCAGGCGGGCAAGAATCTCTTTCTGGTCACAAATAGTCCCTATTCGTTTGTGTAAGGCACTAGTTTTCCTTTTCCCATTCATTAGATCTTTACAAATAGTATTATCTGTATTTTTAGCAACTGCGGCATGTCCTGGCTGGTGGGCTCCAATTGGCGTGATTTCTTCGATGTGGTCATTGTGCAGGCACGCAAACCCAAGTTCTTTACGGATGAATCTCGCCCTATTAGGCTGTTCGATGAGCGAACCAAGTCGCATCTGTGGGATCGAGTCTTCAAGCTGGAAAAGGGCAAAATCTACTACGAGGTAAGGGTTTCTATTCAAAATTACCATAGCCTCGGCTGTAATTTCAGAATTCTTCATAGGGTTCGGTAAGACAGCTTCAAGAACTCAAGGGCTGGCGCGGTCATTCCGTGCTCTATTTTGGCGATCATCCGTACAGTGATCTCGCAGATGTTACTCTGAAGCACAGTTGGCGAACGGGAGCCATCATCAGTGAGCTAGCGGTGGGTAATTATTGGCCTACGATTATTGGATTGTTTTAGAAATTTCCCTATTTTATAGCATGAAATTCAAACCCTCAATCGGGAGGACTTCAAGATGAGTGCCAACTGGCTGCAGATGCTGACGCAGCTCATCGAGGAAACCCAGGACGATGAGAGCGAGGCAGCCCAGATTTGCCTAAGGGAGTGGATGGAAGAGCGGGATCAGTTGCGGTATGTTGAGTGACTCTACTTAAATATAATATAGTAAAAAACTCATTAATTATCCAACCTACAACAGCAACAAGACAAAGAACGTGTTCAACGAGCAGTTTGGCAGTGTTTTTCGCACTTATCACAACCCCACGTACTTCTCGAGACGCCTCTTCCGCTTTGCCGACATCTATACCAGCGACATAACCAACCTGCTCAAGTTCTCTACCACCCACACCTTCTACCCCCGACGGGGCGTTATGCCCCACGAATATGCCTCCCACTTCATCTAGAGGAAGTGGAAACGAACGCCCGTTACCAAGCTCAGATTAGTTGTAATGAAACAAAAAGTGCCAGTGTTGATTGCTTGTAGCTCGAAACTAGTGAATTTACTGCGTGTATATCGTTATTTACATTGTTGCTCAATAAAGTCGTTGTAATAGTTCAAAAAAACCTCGCGATGCTCGCTGGCCAGATATTCCAGCTTACCTTTTAACTGCAGATGTTCCTTTTTGCTGCTTTGGCATTTTTTCAGGGCAATGAGATCCCAGAGATACGTCATCTGGGTGATGTACTCCATGGAGGTATCGCCACACTGAGCAGCAGTGCCGTCAAGCTGTTTCCGGATAATTCTCGCCAGGTTTTCGTACTCCACCTCATCCAGTAATGTCCCTTCTGTAAGGAAATACATCATTAAAGTCTTGAAAACTCGAGAGGCAATCAATTATATACCGTCTATTTCCACAAAGCAGACTGTAATCAGTTCTTCAGCCAGATTTCTTTTGAGACTGTGGTGATCCACAAGCCATTTGTCTAGATCATCGAAGGCTTTAAAAAGCGCATGCCTTTGTGAGGAGTCCGCAAAGCTCTCGATAAGGTCAAGGAACTCATTGTACCATGGGAACTCTTGGCGCTCTTTGCAAACAGTGCAAATAATAGGGTTGTCTGCATTGGACGGCAGCCACCAGCTGAGGTTATTCCGTTGAATCTCGACGTCTGGCAGAAATTTCTGCCGACAGTTGGTTTTTTCGCAGCGATACCGATGGAAAGAAAGCTGGTAATAAACGGAAATAATTAAATGTTGTTGAGTCTAGATTTTATGCAATATGCCTGGATTCTATCACATTAAAAATCAAGGAATTCAAAAGAAAAAGCTATGATACACATTTTGTAGACTATAAGTTAGAGATTGTTTTGTGCTATTTTTAGAAAATTTGTATATTAACAAAATTCTTTTTTTGAACTGCACTTTCATAACAAACTCATTAAATACTCACATAATCTTGATCGGGATCAGTTCGAGTACACTTGTCGCAGTTACACTGGAATTTATAGACCTCTTTTAAGGGCTCGGATCGCTGAAGCTTTAAGCTGTTTCTGTAATCCCTGGTATAACAATTGAAAATCTCCTCGCCCGCTAAGATGTCCTTCGCAGCGTAATTTACCACAGAGCAGCCGTCGAACTTGGTTCGAATAGAGGGAGCGCAGGCATGGTTGCACAGGCTCAAGTATGGAAGATTGATGGCCGTGATCAGTTCCGAATGGGCAAGATTGTGCAGTTGACCGATCTTCAGGTGGCGAGGCTTCTGCCACATATCCGGCTGCAGCAGGGCGAACTCGTTTGGCTCCAAGCCAACTGGTAGCAAGGCATCGCCCACATGACCGTTGGACAACAGCTGGCCGGCAGATCGGAGAATCAGTGCTGAAGTAATCAGTTGCCATTCCTGCGTGCTGGCTGACGCGGAGCGGAACTGATCGAAAAACATAGTGTGCTCTTTAAGGTAAAATTGAAGCAGGTTGGCACAGAGGATGTGGTAGACTAGCTCCGCTTGAGAGGCCTGTTCCAAATGGCTGACCATGCGCAGGCTTTGCAAAAACTCTGGAGCTGTTTCCCCCGTGTCCGATGTCTTCGCCAGATTAATGATTTTATCCCAAATTTCCTGGGCACTGGTACTGTCCTGCAGTTGGGGCATCATTTGGGGCATGTAAGCCAATACCAAACGCAAGGCCAAATGAGAAACGCCCAGCAGTTTGAGAAGATCCCTTTGGTAGGCAGCGCACTCGTATTTGTGGATGGCTGAGTGGGCCTGCCGACATTTCCTGGAGCAGTAGACAACCCGCTGATGGCACTTGCAGCAGGGAATGGGCGCACTCATTAAGCTGGCGGCACACTGCTGGCAAATTAGCCGCTGTTCCAGGGGAACAAAGCAGGAGGCTCGCTCGGAGAAGATGATCTTGCCTTGGTTTATTGTCTCCTTTGCCACCATATAGCGCCCACGTTGGCCAGGATCTGTAGTGCTGATAAAAATTGACGGTAAAAAATTTGGAGTGGTGAGTATCAAAATAACTAAACCCACATTTCTTCTAAAACTCTGCTATCGTCTCCCTTTTGTGTCTCCTGACCCTTAGGTTGGTTTTTAAGTAGCTGCAGTTTTTCCTTCAGGTCCTCTAGCTGCAGCAGAAAAGTTTCGTTCAGTTGCTGCTGTTCCAGACAACTCAGATGCTCTTCCAAGGACTCAATCTTCTGCAGCTTCCAGGCGCAGTGTGCCTGTCGCATGATAACTTTGTGTCGCAGTCTCTCCGGATAGCCACACTCAAGCGCATTGGCGCAGTCGTCGTAGGCTTCCCTGAAGAACCCGTACTCCTGCAGGGCCATTCCTCGGTTGGCGAAAGCCAGGGCCAACTCGTCTTTAGCATCCTCCGCCTCGAAAACAGCTCCCGTATACAGCCTGCACGCTTTCAGCACCCGCTCCGAATCATGCGATCCTCTGAACATGTTGTTTCCCTCCTCGCGCAAATTCCGCGATGTCTCTGCACATTTTTCCCGGTCATGCGGCTGCTCCAAATCCTCCAGCAGTTTGACTGTCAGCTGCTGGAATCTCTGAAGCTTTTCCGCCGGCAAAGAGTCCAGTGACTTGAAGGTTTCGTACTCATCCCTGAATCCTCCATCCAAAACTATAAATTCGTCCTGCTGAGAGAAAACTCTGGCGAGACGATCCATTTTTGCCGGCTATCCAAATTGTTTACACCAATTTAAAAACGTAGTTGGTAATTTTTAGGGCATTTCGACTTCGGTAGAAGCGCGAAATAGGACAATCGGCTATCCTTTTCAAACATTTTATCATTCTCTCTTTAGAATTATTCAACACACTCATTTGAAGAAAAAAACTGAAATCTGATTTTATTAAAACCTACTATTTATTGATAATCCTAATTAAATAAATCTTCTGGTAGGCTGTCTAGCCTCTCAAATATCGATAGGCCGTGGCGATTATTGCGGTCCTCACACCACCATGTGAAACCGTAAACAAAGTGGGGCAGAACGCACACTCATGCAAGATTGCAGAATTCCTCAACGAATTTCATTAAATTAGACCGGAATTGCCGGTGAATATAACTAAAGGAGTTTCTATCAACCTGTCCGACAGCCAACAGTCAGAATGAAAGACGCCAAGGTGAGTTCCCCGGCAGATTTAAGTAGCGCCCGCAGTTACATCATGTCACAAAATAGTCGGTTGGACTTCGGCTGATGTGCTGGTGGTTCCTGCTGCAAGTTAAAACTGATCTAATCTCCTCGTGCTCGCAGCCCTTCCCCGTGCTCAAGAACGACAACCTGCTGCGGGCCGCCCGTGGCGAGGTGGTTGACCGCGTGCCCGTGTGGGTGATGCGCCAGGCCGGACGCTATTTGCCGGAGTTCCAAGAGCTGCGCAAGCAACACGACTTCTTCACCGTCTGCCGCACCCCGGAGCTAGCGTGCGAAGTGACCATGCAGCCACTGCGCCGTTTCGATCTGGACGCCTCCATCATCTTCTCGGACATCCTGGTCATTCCGCAGGCCCTCGGCATCACCGTAGAGATGCATGCGGGTGTTGGTCCCGTCCTACCGCAGCCCATCGCTGTGCCCGAGGACCTGAAGCGCCTGACTCCGGACGGAGCCCTGTCCCGTCTCAGCTACGTGGGCGACGCCATCACCATGATGCGGCACAAGCTGGAAGGGCGAGTGCCACTCATCGGCTTCACTGGGGCGCCTTGGACGCTCATGGGCTACATGATTGAGGGCGGCGGCAGCAAGACCATGTCCAAGGCCAAGGCATGGCTTAATGACTATCCGGAGGACTCCAAGCTGTTCCTTAACCTTCTGACCGACGCCATTGTGGACTACTTGGAGATGCAGGTGAAGGCTGGCGCCCAAATGCTGCAGGTATTTGAATCATCGGCGGAGCACCTCTCAAAAGAGCAGTTCCTGCAGTGGGGAGCGCCATACTTGAAGAGGATACGCGACGAGTTAGTAGACCGACTCACCAAGAAGGCAATTCCAGTGGTTCCCATTGTAAGTCCAGCTAAAGGTTATTATAATTTTAACTACATTGAAGTCTTCCCGCAGACGCTTTTTGCTAAAGGTGCTGGACACTCTCTGAAGGAACAGAGCGAACTGGGCTACGACGTCATTGGGCTGGACTGGACTGTGGATCCCATCGAGGCACGCAGTGTGGTGGGACCGAACATAACGCTGCAGGGCAATCTGGACCCCCAGGACATGTACCGCGATCCGGATGAGCTGCGCAACCTGACCACCGAGATGGTGCACAAGTTCGGCAAGTCGCGCTACATCGCCAATCTGGGGCACGGCATCACGCCCCAGACCCCGATTACGAGCATGGAGGTGCTGGTGGAAGCGGTGCACAAGGCTTTATAAGCGGCGGCTCCAGCTCTCTTAATTAACTCATTTAATGATGCTTTTATCGAATGCAATAAAGACAATTGGCCTTGGGTTTAGGGTAAGATCATTGGAATGTTATATTTAGTTGCTGTTGCGCCTGTTCTTGCAGGATCTTGTCGTAGATCATTAGAATACTGCCACAGCAGATGAGCAGAGTACCCAGAATGATTTCTGAAAAAAGGGTCTATTAAATGAGTATGAATATTTAAGATATCTAATGGAGCTTACTCTTTCCCGGCAGCTTTTCGCCCAGAGCATAGCCAGTTATTGCTGTGAAAGCGAAACTCAGGGAATTGGCCACTGGCACTGCCACCGTAATGCTGGCACTTTGGAGCGTCCACACGTATAGGGCGCTTCCGCACTGGTTGAGTCCAAAGGGTATCCAATAGCGCCAACGGGAGCCGACTGTGCGAGCTTCCTGGATGAAGTTCCTCCACTTGGAGCCCGTATCTCTGAGCGACTCGATTCCCTGGCTGCCGAGGCGGATGAACGGATTGGTAACGCCCCACAGCAGGCCCACGACAAGAAGTTGCACTAAAAAAAGTTAAAATATAGTAGTCACAAGTGAAAATACGTATTTATTCACCGGCAGTCTCTAGCATTCTTATTTGTTTACATCTGATCAGCTGTTTTCTAATGCACCATAATTAATAATGGATAAATTTAGTAGGGGAACTCCTATAACTAATTAATAACTGGATTCAACTTATTTGAATATTGTTGTCAATATAATTATTGGCCAAAAGATAAGAATCAAATTGGAAAAGCCATTTTCATAGTTTTTAAGGCTACGCGATTTTGTAATTAAAAATCAGTTAACTCTCGCTAGAATTATTTAAAAATAATAAACAAAGTTGTGAAAGTATTACGCTCCGAATTATTTATTAAATGGCCATGCTATTACTTAACGGTTGCGTGAATGGAGCATTTAAAAACAACGAAAAGTGTAACCGTTCCTCGCAAACATCGATAGTCGGTACAGCAATCGATATTACGATGTTATTGTGCCCTAGCACGCTCCAACCACCTCTAGGGCCTCTTCTTCTTTCTTTTTCGTAGCTTTCATTTCCGGACAGGTTCGTAATTTGGCAAATTACAATTTAAATCGAGAAACATCGAAAAATTACACGGAATAAATGCAATGAAACTGTGTGCACAATGTCTAAAGACCAAAAACCCTTCAGAGACCGTGTGAATTTTCGATGTGCGAATTTTCTGTGTCACTTTTTTGGCGGATGAAAAAGTCCCCATATATGTGCATCTTTGTTTATGTTGTGCCAGTTAACTAAAACCCGTATCCAAACCTTGCAGGATATTGAACAGCACCGTTGCGGCCTAAACAGCACAATGACCAAGACCAAGGGAGAGAAAATCAACAAATCGGCGATCAACGAAGTTGTGACCCGCGAGTGCACCATTCACTTGGCGAAGCGTGTCCACAACATCGGCTTCAAGAAGCGCGCGCCCCGCGCCATCAAGGAGATCCGCAAGTTCGCCGAGCGGGAGATGGGCACCACCGATGTGAGGATCGACACCCGTCTGAACAAGCACATCTGGTCCAAGGGTATCAGGTACGTTAGCCATTGGCTCCCTCGAAAGTGCATTCCATCTAATCTCCCGTTCAATCTTTTCCAGGTCCACTCCATTCCGCATCCGCGTGCGTCTGGCACGTCGTCGCAACGACGATGAGGACTCCCCCAACAAACTGTACACCTACGTGACCTATGTGCCAGTGTCTACGTTCAAGAACTTGCAGACCGAGAACGTCGAGTCCAGCGACGACTAAGCAACGTAATTGAAGGCCCACAGATACGGTTAATAAAAAGTAATTTTTATTTAGAAAAAAACAAAACAAAAGTGACTTAAAGTGTGGTAAACTGTGGCTGCACCAAGTAGATGGCCTCCTCCGTGGCCATGGACAGGAGGCGGAGCTTCTGGCTGGGCAGTAGGAACACTTCCAAGGCACGGCCTTCAGGCAGGGCACTGTCGCCGAGGATTTGCTGGAATCCCGCTGCCCCGCGATGCTGGTATATGGTGAGCGGTTGATGTGGCAGAACATTGGACACACACAGCAGCAAATCGTCCGATTCTAGCAGATGCATGAAGAGCATATGTCGCGGCTGATGAGAGTCCTGGAGCCTCAAGACTTGGTCCAGATGGAAGTCGCTAGAGTCTGTGCTGTTGAAGCTGTAAAATAGTTGGCCCAGTTTAGTTTAGCACGATTTAATGCTGTGCTTAAAGATCTACCTGTAAATCCGAATCTCTGCTGCCGGCGATGAAACCAAGAGTGCCACATAACCGCTCTCCATGCCGGCTTCTCGTTGGATCAGCGCTATTTGCTCCACCAGCCCATCCATCAGGCTACTGACCAGGGAGTAATTGCCATTGCTCCATTTCCAAAGCTCCACAGCTCTGGAAGTCTTCAGCAAAATGGGCATGTCCTCTGTATCGGCCACTAAGAGCAACTGTTTTGCATCCCTTCTGGTTACGATTGCCTCCCTGCTGTTGTTCTGCTTGTCGCTGCATTTAATTACTATCTGGTTAGCTTCTTGTAATCCCCGGCACTGAAACCCGAGTAGCGCAAACTCCATTTGCTGTTTGGTGTCTGCATCTTCAGGAAATTGATCCAATATTTGCTTATTGAGCTGTGTCAGTGCTGACGAGTGTAAAAAAAACAAGAGAGAACGCTATAGTCGGGTGCCCCGACCATCAGATACCCGTTACTCAGGTAAAGGGAGTGCGAGGGAGATGGAGATAGAAACTTTGATCACGCATAACTTTTTAACGAATGGTCCGATTTGAAAAATTTCTTCTACATTTCGATAGGTATTGATAAACACAATAAAACTGCATTTTTACTTTTCCGAAATATTTAAATTTTTAAAATCGTATATAAGCGATTGTGGGCGTTAAAGGGGGCGTGGCACCATTTTGAAACAAACTTGCGCTGCGTAGGAACTGCTCAAATCTACATGCAAAATGCCAATCTTCTAGCTTTTATAGTTTCCGAGATCTCAGCGTTCATACGGACAGACAGACAGACAGACAGACAGACGGACAGACGGACATGGCTATATCGACTCGGCTAGTGATCCTGATCAAGAATATATATACTTTATAGGGTCGGAAACGCTTCCTTCTAGCTGTTACATACTTTTGCACGAATACAATATACCCTTTTACTCTACGAGTAACGGGTATAACAAATCAAACTTGAATGTTGTTATGTCGACTAGTGTATACACTTTCTTAACTTGAGATTTGGTTTGGTATAAAAACTATTGAAAGTCATTTTATTTTGGACCGTTTCCTTAAAATTTACGGGCAAACGGAATTTTATGGAGATTGCCTTGAATCAAATATGATCTTTTATTATGAATATGTATTAAGAAGCGTTTAAGCCAAGGATGGAAGAAATCAAAAAAGTGTGCTTACCTTTTCTGAAAATTAACAAATTTCAATTATTTTCTTTAAAATATCATGTTTTCCGAACTAAGCTGGTGTGGACTTTTCAAACCATATTACAAAGTGTGTAGGACTCTTTCACAGGGTATTTCAAAACAACAGATAACAAATCAGCGGAGTGAGGTTAAACTGCAAAGCATTTAAAAGCAGAATTCGTCCAATTGGCTGCAGTATCGGAGTAGATTTCAAACAAACCAACGCCCACTCCTGAAAACCCTAAGTATTTAGCATGAGAACTCAATTGAAAGGGTCCCTTTGGGTCCTTTGTTTGGCTTCGATGGCGTTTTCCAGCCTGGCGGTGACAACTTCGTCCAAACCAACGTTGGCCTCGGCGTTCGGGTAAGCGGCGATGGTTACCAATCCTTTGTCTACTAAGATCCCTCCGTCTGCAGTTCTAAAACCACTTCTCCCGCGGTTTCCGATGCTTTAAAGGCGAATAAGACCAGTCCCGGTCGTTCGACGCCGGGCGAACTACTGCCCATGGTGATCAACACTTGGAACTTTACGGCCGCCAATGTGCTGGCCTGGCGCATCCTCAAGCAGAGCAAGGGCGGTCTCCGGCAGACGCGCAACGCCGTGGTGGAGGGCTGCTCCAAGTGCGAGAAGCTGCAGTGTGATCGGACAGTGGGCTACGGTGGGTCTCCGGACGAGTCGGGCGAGACCACGCTGGACGCCATGGTTATGGACGGCAGCACTCTGGATGTGGGAGCAGTGGCTGGACTGCGGCGCATTAAGGACGCCATCAAGGTGGCCCGACATGTCCTGGAGCACACACAACACACCATGTTGGTGGGCGATGCGGCGTCCGCCTTTGCCAATGCAATGGGATTCGAGTCCGAGTCGCTGGTCACGCCGGAGTCTAAGGATATGTGGCTGCAGTGGACGGCGGAGAACTGCCAGCCGAACTTCTGGTGGAACGTGTATCCAGATCCCAAAGTCTCCTGCGGCCCGTACAAGCCCCGGCCCACCCCGCTGACTCGCTGGAAGGAGGACCGGGCACGCAATGAGTACGAGATCGGGCGCAAAAACCACGACACCATCGGCATGATAGCCATCGACGTGGAGAGCAACATCCACGCTGGCACCTCCACCAACGGGGCCCGCCACAAGATTCCCGGACGGGTTGGGGACTCTCCGATTCCGGGTGCCGGTGCTTATGCGGACAACGAAGTGGGTGCCGCTGTGGCCACCGGAGACGGGGATGTGATGATGCGGTTCCTGCCCGCGCTCCTCGCCGTGGAGGCCATGCGATTGGGAAAACCGCCTGCAGAGGCCGCCGAAGTGGGCCTCCGTAGGATCCTCAAGCATTACAAGGACTTCATGGGCGCTGTCATTGCCGTGGATCGCCTGGGAAACTATGCAGCCGCCTGTTACGGGTTGGAAGAGTTCCCGTTCATAGTCAGTAGTCCAGTAAGTCCGGATAAGCCGACTCGTTTGGAAACGGTCAAGTGCATTGCGGGTCCAGAAAAGGTAAATATTGTGCCGTTGTAAACAGTCAGAAAATGTAAAAGATTTTAATAAAATGAAAATTTGAATTTCAACCACTGTAATTAAGTGTTGGATAACGTCTGTTTTTGTAGCGGTTGCGAAAAATACCGATATTGGAGAAACCCAATCTGGTCACCCCAAAATAACGCATTTTCAAAGAGTGGTAATCAAATAACATTAGATAGAAAATAGTTGTAGTTTTCAAATTAGGTACAAAAATCAAAAATTAGGCACATAAAATACCAGTATACATTGGTGTAAAAATATTTTGATAATGAAACAATAATAGGTCAAAAATGTACGAAAAACACAATAAAAGTACAGCTAAGAACTTTAAATTAGCAAATAATTATCAGTAAATTAAATAAACAGTTGTTAAATTTAAATTGTATTGTTTTTTAATTTCTTTGTACAGCGGCAGACTTGTCTTGCCAACTACCTTTAATATCTTTTAAAGGCTCTTTCCCACAAATACGATATTTGAATTATAACTGCTTGTCAACAAACCCAGCTGATTGACAGTGCGACCGTAGCACGCATAATTCTGATGAACTCAAAATTTGGGACACACTGTGAAGATTAAAGTTTTTACGCTAGCGTACTCGTTTGTCGATCTGAGTACTAGGCTTACGGAACCAGAACCTTCTTTGCAGTAGTAGCGTATTCTGGCGGTCAAGGAGGTTACTTTTCATCCCACCTAGTACTGTACCAAACGGCGGCATTTTCGGTATTTGCGTGTGGCACGGTCACATTTTCCGCCAAATTACCGACGCCAAATACAGAAGAGGAAAAGAGAAGCGAAAGGTGCAAAGCAGAGAGTAAAAAGCCAAGCGAAAAAAAAGGCGGCTGCAAACAAACCAAGCTAGTTTAATTTTTCCTGGCTCTCGGTGTAAACAAAACAGCCTCCAAAATTATTAAGAACGCGCAACCAGCGGGCCGCAAGTCGCTGACTAAGATGGCAATTCAACTGGACAAGATTCTGCAGGACATCGCCAAGGAGAAGGTGCTGCATCCAAACAATGGCGGCTCCAGCAAGCAGGAGCAGGAAGAGGCGTGGGCAAGGATCGGACGCCTCAACAAGCTGTCCGTGCACGAGTCGCGCTCCATCTTCATCGTGCTGCAAAAGAAGTATGAGCAGGAGAAGCTCAAAGGGAACTCGGCGTGGAAGCTGTTTGGCCTGATGCACCAGATCCACCAGGAGCCAAAGGTCACAGTCAAAGAGGAAGAGTGAGTGGTAGCACTAACGTCCATATCTACAGAATAACCAACTTTCTAATCCCCTGCAGAGATCAGGGGCCCATGGACGAGGTAGAGGAGTACGAGATGCTGGAGGTGCAGGAGCCGGAGGAGGACGAGGACGCCAACCAGTTCGGACAGCCGGCCAACTCCACCGGATCGGCCTCCTCCGATGGCGAGAGCCCCACAAAGTCGCACAGCACCGGCTCGCCGGACAAGGATGAGCGGGTGTACTCCAAGCCCAACGTGGACACCCCCCGCCCGGCCTTCGAGGAGAAGAAGCTGCTCAACACGCTGGCCAACAACACAACGCGCTCCACGACGAACAGCTCGCTGTCCGCCGCTGCAGCAGTGCTCCAAAAGAAGGGAATTACTGTTAAGAAGACGCCCTCTGCAGCAGGAGCTGCGCCAAAATCCACGTCCGGTCAGCAGGCACCATCTAGTGGCTTGAGATCCGGCTCTTCGCGCACCACCATCCAACTGCCAGATTCCCTGAAGCGCAAACTCTCCGAGGAGTACACTTCCTCCTCTACACACAAAAAACAGTCTAAGACAACGAGCCCCAAACAGACAGCTCCGCCTGCAACCGCCACTCCACCGATGGTCAGCGTTCCAGATAACCTGCCGGCCGCCACTGTGGTGCACACAACCACTGCCCAGCTGATGCAGGTAAAGAAGGAGCGGGAGGACAACCAGACACCGCCGCCGGGCATCAACATCATAACCATTCCGGCGTCGCAACAGCTCAACGGCGGCGGCGTTGGGGGACCCACATCATCGACGGCCGCCACCATTGCTTCCACCTCAGTGGCCTCCACAAACGGCTTCTCGCCGCACATCGAGGAGCTGGACTTCAAGAACGACATAATCTTTGACTCGAAGATCAACGCCGGCTCCTCTAACACACCCGAGATTATCAACCTTGGCAACTTCGACAATTCGCTGCCGCCGACCTTCTTCAAGAATCTTTGCAACTCGTCGCGGCACGAGTCGCTCGGGCTGTACGTGGCCAATGTGATGAACCGACTCTCTTCGCGTGCCTCCGCCAAGCTGGAGCTGGGCATATTGCGCGCCATTCTCGATGTACAGAGCGACGAATTGGAGCAGTAGCCAGACTGATACTCGCAGTTTAAATGATTACTCAGCTTACATATTAGACAAACTCGAAGATAGTTATGTAGACCTGCCTAGACCCTTTCACCTGGTTACTGTATTATTTTCTTTGAGTTTAAACGTCTGCGTTGCGGTGATGCACATCGTATTAACATACTGTTCAACTCGTTATGGTTGAACATAACGATTTGGGAAACAATTTTTGGGCGACTCTGTGCATGTCATGACGCTGAAGATTAAATGTAATTGTAAGTTTGAAATTTTAGCCACGGTTATGGCGAATTCGCATGTCCCTAGCTTAAGGTCCAATGTGTCACTTGATTTAAAAATACGTTCATATGCAAATAAAGCTACATAACTTACTTGAATTAAGCGTGAATAGCTGTTTATCCGGGTGCCAAATGTAAATGACTGTTTCGTTGGATTCCTGCTCCCAAATAGTCAGTACATCATCGTTAGCCAAGGAGATAATCTTCATGCGTGAGGCCTTATGAGGCAGCTTCTGAAGCAGGACAAAGTTCTCAAGCACTTTTGGTGGCTCTGGTGGGTTAGTGTACAATATATAAGCCAAAACTGATTAATAATTTTATTTACTTACTGCCCAATCTGTTTTTTACAGCATCTATATTTTTCTGAAGCTGATCCCAGTTCTCAATGGCATTCCTGTTGACGCCCCGTTTTCTTTTGTAATCATTATCAAGGAGGACATTTCCATTGCCCACTTCGTAGTGACCCACGGTAAGTGGTTGGGTGAAGATCAATTGGCTCTCAACGTGAAGGTTTTGGCGGTTTTGTGCCTTGTTAACCAGCAGCTCGTTTATCGGCAGGCCATTGACAGAGTCCACCCAGAGATTCTCCACATTGGTGCTTAAGATTCGCTGCTGCTCGGGCAGACTGTTGGCCACGAGCAGAGACCCCTGTACATCCTGATCTTTGTCGCGTAAAAGAAGAGTATCCGGCTGCCAGAGGATGCCATTAACTGGCCCCTTAACGCTGAGATCATTGAAGAGATTTACGTTATCCAGGAGGGTAGTGCCAGCAATGCTATGATTTCCGTAGAGATAGGCTGCTTCATTGATCCACTTGGACATTGGAACCTCCGCCACTTGACTTTCGGGTGTAATAGTCAGTCGATTTATAGTGGCGCTCTTAACGATTTTCAATGCCTCAATAGTTAGTGAAGGATTGCTACTGTCATTATTTTGGGGAATTCTGACTACATCATCAGCTAGGTTTAACTGATTTATTAAGACATTATTTAAATTCCCCGAAACTGAGGCTTCCGGCAGCTCCCATTTTCCACTAATGGTGTGCACTCCGGCTGTTTTTAGAGTGTGGGCAACAAAATCATCAAAATCCAGTGAGAAGTTGCTTAAAAGAATTGAAAGTAAAATTTTAGATCAAGTAATGAGTTAAATTTATTATATCCCGAATTTGTAAGCTAAAATTGGTAATAATTGGCTGATAAGGTAAAAAGTTATATAATATAAAGAGTGTTCTATTTCTTAAAATTGTTTATATGAAATGGCTAATGCCCTCATAAATAAAGTAAACTTAAATAATTAATGTTGTATTTTTAGGACCGACAAAGCCGTTATAATTACCAACGTTTTAAAATATTAAAATATTTAAATTCAAATTGATAGTAAAATGAAAAAAAAAAATGAAATAATCAAATAATAAATGATTTATTTTTAACGATTTTAAAAACTGGTAAAAGCTTAGATTACCGTTATTATACTATCGATATATCGACAAAAGTGCCATCTTTTGTACCCAGGCGTTTGGGATTCAATCGAAGGCGTTTTTGTTGTTTCAAACCACAATCCTCTGCTGTGCCGAAACTGCCCGACCGTAAAAAGTGCATTTAACCAAACCCAATCAGCGACCAATTAACAAGGTAATTAGGCACACCTGCAGTGTTTATTACTCCCGCCCGCCTTCGTGCGAATTGCAAACGTGTACAGAAATTTCACCTGCCAAACTGAATGCACAGCTTACTTGTGCGGGTGCAGTGCCTCCAAAACTGTTAGCGCGTAAACAATTGCGAAAGTGAAACGTGATATGTGCCATTACCCCTGTCCATTTACCCTTTGCCCCGCGATCACTTAATGCGATCCACTCACCTGGCTGTGCCCTCCATTTCCATTAATGTTTCACCATTGCCACGTCGTAGTTCCACGTAGTTGGCCATCGGAGGCTGTGCGAACGTGACGTCATGCTGGAAGCCCAGGGGAGTTTTCATTTGATTGCTGCGCGTCCGGCTAAAATAATTGTGTTTGATGTGGTCCACTTGGTGCCCATTAATGGGTCCCTAAGAGGAAAAGAGATTCCTTATTGTTTACGTATGTTATGGTCATGTCTGAATCTCACTTCGAACTCCAGCAGGCCTTCAAATTGTGCAGAATCCAGTTTTAATCCTCGTAACTCAATCTGCTCGTTGTCCAGCCACACCTGGTCTAGCAGCTGGCTCACAGCCTGACCATTCAACATGTGGTATGAGGGTGGCCCTTCAAACTTCACGTTTTCCGCCACAAAGGTGTCCACGTTATGCCCACTTAAATACTTTTCCAATGCCTCTAGAGGATATCCATTCAGGCTGGTAAGGTTGCAAAAGTCTGCTGCCTCCAAGTTACCTTCTATGCTAACTGGAGCAGTGAGGTAACCTCCACCTGTTTGGTAAATCACATCCTCCGGCACGCGTAGGCCATTTAATTGACCCAACTGAAGCTCCGATTGCAACACAATGGGATTCTCTGAGAGGTAAATTTCAATAAAAACATTTTTCGCCTTCTAATTCAAGTGAATTTTTATAAAGCTCACCAAATCGCACTGCTTGCAGGTGCTCCGATGAATTAAGTCTGTAGCTACGAGTCACCAGATCCTCCAGTGTGTGGTTGTTTAGTTGTCCACTTAGCCATATGCCTTGGTCGCTGTCCAACGATGCCAGCTCCTGGGGAGCCGTGAAATTCTGGTCTCCTTCGGACTCGAGCCAACAACGACCAAATTGATGGGCTGGAATTCCATTCAAGGAGTTCGTAAAGCTAAGTGAACTAATGTTCACATGGTGCTCGAAGCTGAAGTCACCCACATATTTGATGTTGCCCGCCAGTTGCTGCAACTGCTGCTCCAATTGGCCCACTTTCACCTGGTTTATGTTGCCACTGAGCCACAGGTTCTGAGCATTGATGGTGCCATTAAAGTCGGGCTGCAGATGCCAGCTGTCCAAGGATTTGCTACCATGTGCGTAGATGGAGGACAGTGGTTGGCCAAAGAGGAGGCCATTTAAGTTCAGATCTTCCACACTTATCTCATCAACATCCAAGTGGTCGACAAATAGCGTTCCATTCGATTTCTGATCCTTGCCAACTTGAAGGTATTCCTCCAATCCCCGGCCATTCAATAATATCTGGGATGCATTGACTTCGTCTACTTCTAAAGCTTGCAATTGAATTGGAGTCGAAATAGTTTGATTTCCACTCTTGGTGAGCAGCATTTCCGGAAGACTCTCCGTATCAATGCCATTTAGCCACTTGACCTCACCGAAGCCATCAATTATCTCTATATTCTTGGGAAATACCTTATTTCCCTGCACCAACTGTACTTCACTCACATTCAGTCTAACCAGATTTTGCAAATCTTGGGTGTTGAGGAAGCTTAAATCCGTATCATTGGCAATAAGTGGTTCAAGAAAGTTTAGATTCACATTCTCTAGAGGTTGATCCAGTCGCAGGCCTCGTGTTAACTTGTCTGCTGCAGATCGTTGAGTGGGCTCATCCACTAAATCTCTCATTTGCAACAACCGTCCAATGGTGACATCGCCGTCTATAACAAAATCCCCCTGGAGTGTCAGCGATTTGTGGGTTACCTTTGCCGGCGACATGGCTCTCAGTTGAGCGCCCGTCATTTGACCCTAAGAGGATATCAGATTGATGTTAAAGTATAAGATATTTGTGAATAACCCACCGCAATGGTAATTGGTTCCAGGACGCGAACATTCTCGAATCGCTTGGCACCCTCAATGACCTGGGTATGATTCGCCTGCTTGAGCACTACATCAAAGTGCTGACGATCAACGTGGATGTGATTAAGCCTCTGATTTATAATCAGCTCATTCACCTGGATAGGCTGCGCGAACTGGACATCCTGCTGGACAATGAAATCGCCACCATCCACAGGGATGAGCTGCCCCAGGTGGCGATCATTAATCTCTTCACTGTTGACCGTCACAGATTCGGATTGCAGATGCTTCAAATCGACGGGTGCCTTGATAAACTGCACATTTGTGCCGTTGCGTTTAAGCGTCTGATTTATAAGGTCTAACCATTTGATTCCATTGAGCTTGCCCTCCACTGTTAGATTTGTCACCTTCAGCTCCTCCAGAAGTGGTATTTGATGTTTTCTTGCCGGTTCGGTGAACTCCTTGCTGACATAAACTTTACTGGCAGTCACGGACTCGTAAACGGGGTTCTTTGTATCAACGCTATTGATACGATCTGCTTGGACGGTTCCGAGCACCACCAGAGTGTCCACCGTAACCTCCTCAAAGTCGTAGTCCTCATTCGGATTGTCAGCGGATCTGGGAAGTCTGGAGCTGGCTGAGATTGCTTTGTGTTCCAGGATATCTAAAGCCTGTTTGGTTAGTTTTAAAGCCTTCCAATAATTTGGTGTAAGCTTCATGTGCTTATCCTCAAACTTTATAGGAATGAAGATATATATGGTTATTCAAATAATTATATTTTTTGCTGCAACTTACCGATTTGGCTTTCACTTGTTTAATAACTGACCATTGCAGTTTTTCTTCACGTTTCTTTAGCTTTTCCTATAAACACATTCATTGTTTAAATCACGAAATTTTGTAATTTGGGCTACTCACATCCAGTCTTTGCAATAGTTGCTCTATATTCACCTGCTCCAATCGCTTTCTTTGCTCCCGAGCCCAGTCAATTATTTGCTGGCGAAGAATATTAGCATGTTGATCCTGTTTGTAGAGCGGCTGGAAAATATTCGTCTCATTGGCTGCCATGTTCTCATTGGCAATCACTAAAAAATAATGTAGTCTTAGCTTTAGAGATATCAAAAATAGAAAGATTCCCTACCCAAATAGCTCTGATCGCCCTCCTCATAACTTCTCATTCTGACCACTCCACGACTTAAGGCTCCATCGGTGAACTGTACCTTGGATTCCTCGAATCTCCAGTCGTTGAGGTTGTAGATCTTAACATCCTGCTTGTTACAGGCCACCAGCAAAAGAAATTTCTCAGAAACGGAGTGCTGTAAGATTGGGGATTATTACAATGTCATGAATAGGTACTGAAAACCCAAATTACCTGAACCGGGAGAACCCGTTCCACTGCATAGAAACTCAACCGCTGATAGGGCACAAACTGGCCCTTTTCGAAGACATAGATAACAGTGTCTGCCTCGCCCACTTCGGCACCGGATCCGCCAATAGTGTTGCCCAGGATGAGGAAGTGCCTGCGGCTAACCTCGTTCACGGGAAGACTGAAATACTTCACGTCCACGGCTCCATTGCTGCGCAGTCGCTGGAAAAGCGTGAATCTCTGCGACTTGACATCCCACCTGAAGATTTCCGAGCGTGTGGCGGTGCGTCCTTCTGCATCCGCATAGTTGGCCACGGCCACGTAGTCGGTGTAGTCAATGCCGAAGGCCTCTAGTCGGCGAGCATTGCTGCAGGGAATTGTTCCTAGTCGCTGGAAACTCCTGCCCATCCACTTGAAGTAGGGACACTTTGCTCCCGAATCGAATGCCTGCAGAAGGGTCAGCTCCTGACTGCTGATCCGCAGGTACATTCCCCGCAGTTGTGTTCCCGAAAAATACTGCACAGTCCGTATTCCCGTTTCCGGGGAGATCTCATAGATGGGTGATCCTTCACGAGCCTGGCTGACGGGTTCCGATAGATTGTAGCTCACAGCTACGTAGCCACGTCCAGCGTAGGCCAGGCAATCCAGAGCCACTGCTTTGTGTGCGGCCATCTGCACTAGCAGTTGATAATCCTGTTCAGCAGGACGCCATGCATAAACTGCAAAGTGTCGCACTCCATCCGCATTTTTATGCAGAGCTGTAGCATACTTCACCCTGGGCAGTTGGAGGATGCAAATGTCCAGGGGAAAGGGCACCGGCACGGAGGACACACGCGTTAGGCCATCGAAACTAAAGCTAGCTGGAAAGGGAAAAAACAACTTTCTTAAAAAATTAAATAATTGTTAAGATTCTCCGATCGTAAGCCGCCTTCGACTAAACCAAACAATTCTCTCTAACTCTCCGTCAGCCATGGCCGAGGAGGAGCTGCGAACCTACCGCCGCTGCATTAGCCAGCAGCTGGAGGAGCTGGAGATGCTGAGCTCCATCTATTGCGCACCCGGAGAGCTGCAGATGCTCGATGCCGGCGTCGTGGCCGATTTCAATGAGTTTATCGAGGAGCATAAAGGCAAACTCGCTGCCAGTCTCCTTTCGCATCTGGAGTATGTGGTGAAGTTAAGTCTGCCCGCCAAGCAAAGCGTGGAAGTTCGAGTGGAGCTGCCTCATCTGTATCCGATTCTGGAGCAGGCACGAGTCAGTGTGCACACTCCACTACTGGGGAAATGCAAAGAGCAGCGTCTTAAGATCGACATGGAGCAGTACCAGTCCGAAAGGCGGGAGGAGGACGCCGAGCCGTACATTTTCCAGCTGCTAAGCTGGCTGCAGGAGTACATTGAGTATTTGTTAAAACGACCGGCTTCCGAGTTTGTTGAGCAGCCCGCAGAGCCACAAGATCCGCCCCAGCCCGCGGCTTCCCATCTCGAGCGAATGTGGATCTACTCCCACCACATCAAATCCACCGCCAAGCGGCAAGAGCTAATTCGCCAGGCCCGTCAGTTGCAACTCACTGGCTTCAGCAGACCCGGAAAACCCGGCATCATTTGCGTGGAAGGTGAATCGGGGAATGTCCAAGAGTTCTGGCGCACTATAAAGGCCCTTCGATGGCAAAAGATAAGCCTGGTGCGAACGGAACCACGGCAGCGCAAGCGGGGATTCGAGGACTTTAGCGAGCAACTCTTCAACGCTGAGGAGGGAGTGATGAACATGGGCCAGTTCATTCGGTTCCTCGAAGCCCATGGCTTCGGTTACATGAAGTCTGAATTGTTTGGTTTAGACTGAACGGCATGGCGCTCCAAAATTTTAATTGTAAATAAAGTTTGTTATATGAGTTAATTTCAAACCTTGGTCGAAAAACTGAGGCACATCCGCCGCCCGTTTATAGAGAATTGATTCCTGTTCGGAACTGAGGAAATGTGTTGGATAGGTTTCCTGGAAGCTAACTTCAAAACTGCGCCCCTCGGCAAACGCACCCGCAAATATTATTATAAACAAAACGTAACACATATTTGATACATATATTTATCTCTTTGTAAACGATACAAAACGAAACACTCAAACTGTACCACGTGCACTGATCGGTAACTAATTTTTAGTATCAAGTGGAGATTATAAAAACGGTACTTAAAGCTCGGTTTAGGAGATATCGTCAGCTGTTTAAATCCCCTTTATGTATGTTGATGGGTATATCAGAATGGACAGGTTGTTATGTGCATATATATTTTGAGAGCCGAAGTGAAACCTTATAACATAATTGTTTCCGTTTAAATTTCCTTTAAATAAATCCATTTGCCTCAATTTCTGACACTAGTAAGTCAGCGGGTTCATCTCGAATTGTTTCAGTTGACTCGGCTGTCGGTTTCTCTGATGATAGATCCTTGCTCATATCCTCCTCCACTTTCTCCGGCTCTTGTGGAGCCTCTGCTTTTCTTTTGCCCTTCTTCATAAAATTGCAATAGCAGCAATGATTCGATGTTTTGGATACCTTCTTCATTTTCGCTGCCTCCCGACATCGACGAACCCATGAAATTTGATTGTAGGCTCGCCTAAAGTTCTCATTGTTGAATCCATAGATGAGCGGATTGACGGCGGCGTTTAAGAACATCAAATACTGTGAGATGTACCAGAAGGTTTGCATTCCACTGCTGACGGAGACATCCTCGTCGAAGTATTTTTCTCGCAGAACCACTAGGATTGTAAAGGGCAGCCGGAGAACTGCAAAAACCACGACAACAATGAATAGGGTTTTGGCCACGCTGCGTTTATAGCTGACCGTAAGCGGATTCTCGCGACTTAGAACTCGTTTTTCATACCGATCAAGCTGGATAGTAAGGTAGTTTGTTAAGGAAAAATCCTAGATAAAATCACTTTGCTTACCTTATAAAATATGGCTATGTAGCAAATAAGCATGATGCCAAGTGGCAGCCACACCAAAATAGTGATAAGCACATACCAGTATTTAGGCAGGACTACGGTGTTCTCCTTGCAGTAACGCTCTGTAAAGTTTTTCCAAACCCGCACCCTGTAAACTCGATATAGAGCCAAAGGGGAGGCCAACAGGATGCCCAGGACCCAGGTGCAGACCACCACGATTTGGGCTCCCCTAACAGTGAGACGTGTTTCCATTGGCAGCACGATGGCCGTAAGACGATCGTAGCTGACCACCGACAGATTGAGCACGGCTGTGATGAGGAACACCACCACCAGGAAGCCCTCCAGCTTGCAGCCCACACAGCCCAACTGGTAGTTCTGATAGAAATCGTTCACCATGAACATGGCCGGGCATATGGCCAAAGTCAGCAGATCCGCTACAGCCATGTTGGCAATGATCAGGTTGGTGGGCGACCTCAACGACCGATTGGTGGCTATCAGATAAACCATGGTGATGTTCCCATATAAACCGAATGCAATTAGCGGCAGGAAAGTGCCGATCTTCAAGGTTATTTCCCCATTCGATTTGTGCAGCCAGATGCGCTCCGCTGGGAAATCCCACTTGCCGAAGTCGAACTAAAGGATACAGATTTATAGAGGATATAACTGCAGAGTCCTTACTCCTACGAACTTCATCGCTGCTGGAGTACGCGGCCATTCCGTTGGCTTCCTACTTCGATGACTTCCCCAGAGGAACTGCCTTCGCGAACAGCAAATTAACATGACCATTAACTGATCCCACATAATTCCAAGAGCTGATTGACAAATCCATTAACAAGTGTCACAGATAGTGCTCGCTAAAAGCTAATGACTCTGCGATTTGACCATCTGTTGCGCCTCTCTCGGCGATTCTCATAAATTCAAAAAGGACTTTTAGATGATTGCATTTTGTGTGCATTTAATTTAGACTGTTCTCCCTTCTCGTTAAACTACTAATTTGAACATTTCGGACTTTAATCAATGTCGAGTTTGCGGAAGGAGCCTTCGACGCCGAAAATAGAGTCGGCACTAACACGCTTTCCAGGACGTAGATGCTCATCAACTCCATACTGGGAATCCTCTGCGAAATAACTCTTGTAGGACAGCAATTGCTTTTCAGCCTCCGCCTGGATATCGGCTATACGTCCATTGCTTCCGCCATATTCCTCCGGCAGATATTCGCGGGGTATGACCTTGTTCAATTGCTCCAAATTCTTATACACGTGAAACTGCAAAAAAAAAATTACTCATCAGTTATGCAAATAGTAGACGTTCTTGTTGATAAATTCCCTGCATGTGTGTGTATATATTTTTGTCTAGGCCACAGCCTAACGTTTCAATGATAAGATTCCATGTGCGTGGTCAACTGACCTTAGGCAATGTCTTTCCACCTGCTGCACTTGACAGTGTGCGAGCATTGCTCGAATATTAATTGCTTTAATTTGTGAAATATTAATTAATAGTTCAAGGGTGAGAGAGTCGCAGAGCCACTCAACGCTTATCAGCTGCCTGTCAGACTCGCTGATAATCCCCGTGAAGTGTCCGATAAGCGACGAAAATAAATTAGCAGAAGTGCCTCTGATTATTCAGCTATTCTCAGCCACTCACCCGTTGCTGGAGCTTGCTGGGCATAAGGCTTTTGGCCAGATTCAATAGGGCCACCCCCTCCTTGGGACAGTTGATCAGGTGGACTCCCTTCAAGCGAGTGGGTTGAGCCTTCTCCGCGAATATACCCATCTTCTTGATGAGCGTAAAATCCAGTTGGGCAAAAAAACTAAGGCTCAGTTTGGCCATGTCGATGATCTCAATGTAGCCACTAATGTTGCTGTTGTCATCCTCACGGATGGCCTGTTCGGATAACATTGTTTGGTAGCGGAACAGGTCCAGCAATTTAAACTTCTTGGGATCGAATTTATCGTAGTTTGTGAGCTGCAGGCGAGGGCCGCCATCTCCCCAGGGTTTGGGCAACCGGACATAGGTTCTGCAAGGGATTTTAGTTTATCCAATATCCTCGATTCGCACGAATGAACTCCACTCACCCCGTTCGACACAATTCTAAGTTCTTCTCGTCCACAATTCGGCTACCAAAGAGCTCCGGCATTAGCGTCTTGATGGTGTAAAAGTGATCCAGCTTAGACTTGGTCTTTTCCAGGCTGAATTTACAGCCTCGCAGGAAGCCAACCAGGAACTGGTCATCCTGTCGTGCTTTCAGATACGGCTGCTTGGCCACCCAATCCCGCAGAGCCTCCAGATCGGCGGGGACCCGGTCCTCCACTTCGTTCAGCTCCGTCTCGGCAATGCGACGGAGTTCGTCACTCAGGGGACGCAGATCGGCCATTTCTGGGAAGTCGCTTGCTTCGTGGCAGCTGGATGGCTACTAAACGCTTGCCCTAATCACTCGGCAGACGAAATCCCAGGCCGAAACGTAACCGTTAAAAGCTAAACTACTGCCTTTATGGCCAGTCACTCCACTGATTGTGAACTTGGCCACTCCCGCTGCTCTCTTAACCATTCGCTTCATCCAATTGCGAATCCAACCCGATCCAATTGCGAATCCAACCCGATCCGGTGTAGGTCGGCGGTCGAAGTCTCTCGCCGGGAGATAAGATTACGGATCGACTGCATCAGTGGGGAATATGTGCAGCTGACGGGGGAGAGCTGTTTAGGCAGAGTCTGACTATAGAACCACGCCACAGTTCAAATGAGTGTGTGCAGGCCATATCTTATCGCCGAATCGGAAAGGCACAGTTGGCTGGAATTACCCAATGTTTTATAAAACTTAATGCCAATTTAAGTGAAGGGGTTGCTATTTTTGAATAGATTTCTTAATATACATTTTTTAGTATTAATTATAAAGAAGTCCAGGATCCTAACCCTAATTGTTCTATGAGCAATCACTTCAAAGAATAATACAGCTTGTCCTTCCACTTTCCAAATTTTCTTAATCCGTCTGAGATTATTGTCCCTCTTAATACAAATCAAAATTATATTTATAAATTTTGATTAATGTTTTTTATTTAATAGCTTGCGTACTAAGCCACTAATAATATTATTTCATGGTCTATTTCAACGTATAAAGATCTAAGAAAATCTTAAACAAATAATTAAAGTTTGATCATGTTTAAATTTAGTTGGTAATACCTTTTAAGCCAAACCAATACAATTAGTTATCATATCTATAAAACATGGCTATTTGTGTTTGCAGTATCGGTCAGTGATATAGCGTAATCTGGCGCTACAAATGGTTTGTCACTGTGAGTTTGCCCCATGTCGGATTGTTTTTTGGAGTGCTTTCGCACCAGTGTGCTCCGCTATCGAGAGTTTTCCCGATCCGAACCGAATAGGAACCTAGTCCAGGTAGGCGGGCACCGACATTTCGATTAGTCGTGTTCGCACCTGGCCACAGCACACACACCTCTTAGCATACTCCCGACCTTTGGCATCGTATCTCAAAATTTAAGGCAAGTTTTGATCGTTTTGCAGATCCCCTGTGACCATGGCCAAGATACGATCGCTGGTGCCGGAGCTGGCCGAGGTGGCTCGATTGCAGCTGGGCGAACAGTCCTCAGAGACAGTGGCAAAGATCGAGGCCCTGCGGACCTGGATCGTCGAGCAGAGTTACCTGGAGGCGCGAACCGACGATCAGTTCCTGGTGGCCTTCCTGCGATTCTGTCACTGGGACGTGGAGGTGGCCAAAAAGCGGGTGGTCTTCTACTACACCTACAAGTCCAAAGAACGCGAGCTGCTCAAAAGTCGCCTGGTGGACGATAAGCTGTTGGAACTGGCTCGTTCAGGGTGAGTTTGGGGGTTCCCCCTTCTATTTCTAAAAGTCCAGACTGTAACTGACTCTTTGTTGTAGAATCTTTGCCACCTTGCCCAACCCCATTGGCCCTGGTGGCCCCCGCATCCACTTCACACGCATGGGTCACATCGAACCTTCCAAGCACAGTGTCATCGACATTTTCCGCTTCCACGCCTTCCGCGCCGAAATCGAGCTCAACACAGACGACAACTGGAACGTGTCCGGCGTAGTGGAGATCATGGACTTCACCAAGATCCCCTATTCCCTGGTGCTGCAGTTCGATCCGGGCATGTTCAAGCGGATGAACGCATTTCTAGAGCATGGTATTCCAGCGAATTTAGTGGCCACCCACATCGTAAATGCCTCCAGGGAGACACAGTTTGTGCTGGGTCTAATCCGGAATGTGATGAAGCAAAAAGAGCTGGTAAGTTTAAAAGCGGAGCATCTTGAATTATAAGCACTGATTCCTTTGCTTTGCCTTTCTACAGCTACACATCCACTCCAACCTCGAGTCCCTGCAAAAGGCAATTGGCAAGGAGTATCTGCCCGTAGAAATGGGCGGCGACAATGGCACCCTTGCGGATGCGATGTCGCGCTACGAGACCCAGTTGACCGGCTTCTCAACGTACTTCAAGGATGACGAGCGATATGGCGTGGATGAGAAACTGCGGGCGGCCAGCGAGAAGGAGCAGGCTCCATTGGTGGCCGGCGTCCCCAACGACGGGACCTTCCGAAAGTTGAACTTCGATTGAGGCGTTGACCAGGCAGTTAGTTGTATATTCTAATGCACATCCTATATGTACGCCCCCCCAAAAACACAGCCCAATACCTACATATATATACACTGGAATGTATAGATACTACAGCGCTATAGCGATCTTTGGTCATAGCAGAACCTGATATTTTATAATGGCAGCCAGAAAAAAAGAGAAACATCGAAACTAAAAGCAAATTGAACAATATGATTAACAAGTGCACACTAAAATGAAATAAGAAGAAAATGGAACGCCATTAAATGGCACAAAAACCTCACATTATTGTCGATTTTAATTTATTGTTGTCCTTATCAACGCACATACTTAAACACATTCTAACGTCCGGTCGCGAAGGGTATAAAGAATATATATACAGTATATACCCAAACGATTCATCCTACCATGATCCCATAATGCATTTTCATGATGAAATCTTAAACGTCTTCTACTTGTGTGCTAAGTTGTTGTTGGCTTTTATTTTATCGCATACTTTTATACATACGGTACATGAATATATATATATTTTCGATATTTTTTTCCGTTGGTTAAGTGTCGTTTCTACTAATTTTTGATACTAGTTTACACATATACATGCATCTATATTTATGGATAATACATACAAAGTTAAATGACTACAGTTAAAAATGACAATGTATTGTAGACCCCATGTTGAGTGCGTTAATAAATTAAAGCGAATTTGTTTAAATGTCAGTACAACTAAAATTTGAAGAAAAAGATCTATTACTTGGCGGTTTCATTTATAAATTTATGGGGTTATAAGCTTTATCAGGTCTAGATAAACGCGATGTCTGGCTGACGTATCGATATTTGAACTAAAATTTTGAAGATACTCTTTGAGGTATGTCAAAAGCAAGGTTATTCAATTTGATTTATTATATGTAACTATAGCTAACATTTTGTTCCTGCCTTATTTTGAATTCGCATTTTTACCCGCCCATTTCAAAACTTGAAAGAGCGGGATAACTATATCTTTTCGCATATAGTGTTGAAAACCGACCAATTTGAACTTTGGACCGATATAAAGCTTTTTTCTCCAAGCTGTTTGACAAACCATCTGCTCTGGACTGAATTATTTTTGTGTTTACCTTATTATTCTAGTTGAGCTGACAAAACAAAAAAAGTCAAAATGTCAAAGGCAATTAAGTACTATTATGATTTTCTGTCGCAGCCATCCCGCGCCCTATGGATTGGAATGAAATTGAGCAAGACTCCCTTTGAAGATTGCCCGGTTGCCCTGCGAAAACGTAAGAACAAACATAAACAAGTTGATTCTAAAGCCGGCTGATAAATTATTTATTTCAGAGGAACAATTGACCGATGAGTACCGGAATATCAATCGTTTCCAAAAGGTGCCGGCCATCGTGGATGGTAAATTTCAGCTGGGAGAAAGTGTCTCCATCGTGCGGTAAGTATTCTTCTTCAATCCCTGGATAATCGTGTACTATATATGTGATATGTTTCAGTTATCTTGCGGACAAGGGAGTCTTCAGTGAGCAGCTGTATCCCAAGTCCGTGGAGGATCGTGCCCGTGTGGATGAATTCCTAGAGTGGCAGCACTTTAATGCTCGTCTAGTCTTTGGGACGTTCTTTCGCCAGGTCTGGCTTCTTCCGGGAAAAGGAATGGCTCCTGCCCCAAAACCCGAGACTGTTAAAAAGCTAATTAAGGATGTGGAAGTTAATTTGGGCCTTTTGGAACGCATCTGGCTGGAGAAGGACTTCCTGATTGGAGATAAACTCACGGTGGCGGATATCTTTGGAGCTTCGGAAATCAATCAAATGAGTAAGTCTTTACCTAAAAACCCGAATCGTATGATTAAATAAAAATTGTGTTTACTCTATTCAAGAGCTTTGCCAGTACAATGTGAATGAGAAGCAATTCCCCAAAGTGGCCAAGTGGTTGGAACGCGTCCGAGAGACCACTAATCCCTACCACGATGAGGCCCATAGTTTCCTGTATAAGGTCTCGAAAAAGACTGCCACTGCCAAAATTTAATTTCTCTATTATTTTTAGGACTCTCTTTGTTTTTATTGCATTTATTATATCTTAAAGACATCACTGTAAGCAATTTGTGCCTTGATTTGTGTTTAGTGTTTTCTATTATACGTTGGCAACACTCTTAATGTTAAAACAATTGCAAAATTAAAATATTGAACTGAAATGTTAGTAAATTATTTTTAAACTTGCCCTGTTAAGATATAACCTGTTTGTGTTTATTATAGGGATTTATACGAATATCTTATATGAAAATTTTTATATACAAGTTTATATTTGGAGTTCCTAAAGACCACTCTTTAAATATACCCCCAAGAGCGGGACAACCATAATGTTCTAACCAGTGCTGCAAGGTGGCGCTATTGATCTTTGGACCAGAGCTTTGTTTATACTCACTTTTCTCAGCGGGGGGCGATTTCTATAGTCGCCGGCTGTTGTTTATTAGTTTGGATTGAAGCACAGAGCAATTGACCGCCATGTCCAAGTCAATTAGATTCTATTACGATTTGTTGTCCCCGACATCCCGTGGACTCTGGATGGCTCTAAAATTGGGCAATAAGCCTATTGAATATTGCCCCATTGCCCTCCGAAAATGTAAGTAAAAGTAAATCGTTTACGCTTCGCCGGCTAATTTATTATTTCTTCAGTAGAGCAATTGACCGATGAGTACAAGAAGATCAATCGCTTTCAGAAGGTGCCGGCTATAGTGGATGGTGACTTCCATTTGGCCGAAACGATAGCCATTATACGGTGAGGGATCCACATTCTTGGGATTACTTCTTTTATTGACGTCGTACATTGCCCCCTTTAGTTATCTCGCTGACAAAGGTCAGTTCGACGAAAAGCTTTACCCGAAATCATTGGAGGCCCGTGCCCGAGTGGACGAGTTCCTGGAGTGGCAACACCTCAATATCCGACTGGCCTGCTCCTTGTTCTTCCGCGATGCCTGGCTGTTTCCTATCAATGGGCTGGCACCTAAACCCACACCAGAAAAGATTCAACAGTTAGTTGAGGGCGTGGAAACCAATCTGGGTCTGCTGGAGCTCCTCTGGCTGGAGAAGGACTTTCTTGTCGGACAGAATCTGACGGTGGCTGATCTCCTGGGCGCTTCGGAAATCAATCAACTGAGTGCGTTCTAGTAAACTGGATTTTCTTTAAGCTGTCTTTTCATCATTTAAATTCATTTCAGAGATATGCCAATACAAAGTGGATGAGAAGAAGTTCCCAAAGGTGGCCAAGTGGTTGGATCGTGTCAAAGAAGCCACAAGTCCCTACCACGACGAGGGATTATCATTTATCAACCTCAAAGCGAAGCAGGCGACTATTGCAAAACTGTAAAGACTTGATTACTTTTAAAGAGTTTAAATGAGCTACCCATTTTCTTGACCACCTTATATGTTCATATTACAATTTTTATACCCGTTACTCGTAGAGTAAAAGGGTATATTGTATTCGTGCAAAAGTATGTAACAGCTAGAAGGAAGCGTTTCCGACCCTATAAAGTATATATATTCTTGATCAGGGTCACTAGCCGAGTCGATATAGCCATGTCCGTCTGTCCGTCTGTCCGTCTGTCCGTCTGTCCGTCTGTCTGTCCGTCTGTCTGTCTGTCTGTCTGTCCGTATGAACGCTGAGATCTCGGAAACTATAAAAGCTAGAAGATTGACATTTTGCATGCAGATTCTAGGAGTTCCTACGCAGCGCAAGTTTGTTTCAAAAATGTGCCACGCCCCCTTTAACGCCCACAATCGCTTATATACGATTTTAAAAATTTAAATATTTCGGAAAAGTAAAAATGCAGTTTTATTGTGTTTATCAATACCTATCGAAATGTTGAAGAAATTTTTCAAATCAGACCATTCATTAAAAAGTTATGCGTGATCAAAGTTTCTATCTCCATCTCCCTCGCACTCTCTTTACTTGAGTAACGGGTATCTGATAGTCGGGGCACCCGACTATAGCGTTCTCTCTTGTTTACCCTATTTTTGTTCAGAAATTTGTAACTCTTTGAAAGATATTGTGGGGCTGAGGACGATATTAAGAAATTGATGCATTACATTTTTTTGCGGTAAATGACCATTGATTGTACATTTTGTAACGAATTCAACGAGGTGTGATATTTCAACATTAGACAATTATTCCCCAGTGTGTTAAACAAAAAACCGAAATAAAAGTTGATTTTTCCGGATCTCCGGATTTCGTAATTTTGTTTATAAGGGGTTACATTGCCTTTTTTGCTAAAACTGGGCCAAAACAAAATTTTTTAGCTGAGAATGCCACTCGATTGGAAATTTTATAACGAATTCAACGAGGTATGACATTCCAACATGTGACCATTATTTCCCAGAGTTTTGATAAAAAAAATAAAAATAAAAGTGGGTTTTTCCGGATCTCCGGTTTTCGCCATTTTTGATAAGGGGTTACATCATCCATTTTTCCGAAAAATCGACCAAAATGAAAATGTTGAGCTGTGAATGCCACTCGATTGGAAATTTTATAACGATTTCAACGAGGTATGGCATTCCAATATGTGACCATTATTTCCCAGGTTTTTGATCAAAAAACCGAAATAAAAGTGCTCTTTTCCGGATCTCCGGTTTTCGGCATTTTTGGCGAAAAATCGACCAAAATGAAAATGTTGAGCTGTGAATGCCACTCGATTGGAAATTTTATAACGATTTCAACGAGGTATGGCATTCCAATATGTGACCATTATTTCCCAGGTTTTTGATCAAAAAACCGAAATAAAAGTGCTCTTTTCCGGATCTCCGGTTTTCGGCATTTTTGATAAGGGGTCATCATCCATTTTGGCGAAAAATCGACCGAAATGAAAATTTTGAGCTGTGAATGCCACTCGTTTGGAAATTTTATAACGATTTCAACAAGGTATGGCATTCCAACATGTGACCATTATTTCCCAGGTTTTTGATCAAAAAACCGAAATAAAAGTGCTCTTTTCCAGATCTCCGGTTTTCGGCATTTTTGATAAGGGGTCATCATCCATTTTGGCGAAAAATCGACCAAAATGAAAATGTTGAGCTGTGAATGCCACTCGATTGGAAATTTTATAACGATTTCAACGAGGTATGGCATTCCAATATGTGACCATTATTTCCCAGGTTTTTGATCAAAAAACCGAAATAAAAGTGCTCTTTTCCGGATCTCCGGTTTTCGGCATTTTTGGCGAAAAATCGACCAAAATGAAAATGTTGAGCTGTGAATGCCACTCGATTGGAAATTTTATAACGATTTCAACGAGGTATGGCATTCCAATATGTGACCATTATTTCCCAGGTTTTTGATCAAAAAACCGAAATAAAAGTGCTCTTTTCCGGATCTCCGGTTTTCGGCATTTTTGATAAGGGGTTACATCATCCATTTTGGCGAAAAATCGACCAAAATGAAAATGTTGAGCTGTGAATGCCACTCGATTGGAAATTTTATAACGATTTCAACGAGGTATGGCATTCCAATATGTGACCATTATTTCCCAGGTTTTTGATCAAAAAACCGAAATAAAAGTGCTCTTTTCCGGATCTCCGGTTTTCGGCATTTTTGATAAGGGGTTACATCATCCATTTTGGCGAAAAATCGACCAAAATGAAAATGTTGAGCTGTGAATGCCACTCGATTGGAAATTTTATAACGATTTCAACGAGGTATGGCATTCCAATATGTGACCATTATTTCCCAGGTTTTTGATCAAAAAACCGAAATAAAAGTGCACTTTTCCGGATCTCCGGTTTTCGGCATTTTTGATAAGGGGTTACATCATCCATTTTGGCGAAAAATCGACCAAAATGAAAATGTTGAGCTGTGAATGCCACTCGATTGGAAATTTTATAACGATTTCAACGAGGTATGGCATTCCAATATGTGACCATTATTTCCCAGGTTTTTGATCAAAAAACCGAAATAAAAGTGCTCTTTTCCGGATCTCCGGTTTTCGGCATTTTTGATAAGGGGTTACATCATCCATTTTGGCGAAAAATCGACCAAAATGAAAATGTTGAGCTGTGAATGCCACTCGATTGGAAATTTTATAACGATTTCAACGAGGTATGGCATTCCAATATGTGACCATTATTTCCCAGGTTTTTGATCAAAAAACCGAAATAAAAGTGCTCTTTTCCGGATCTCCGGTTTTCGGCATTTTTGATAAGGGGTTACATCATCCATTTTGGCGAAAAATCGACCAAAATGAAAATGTTGAGCTGTGAATGCCACTCGTTTGGAAATTTTATAACGATTTCAACGAGGTATGGCATTCCAATATGTGACCATTAATTATTTCCCAGGTTTTTGATCAAAAAACCGAAATAAAAGTGCTTTTTTCCGGATCTCCGGTTTTCGGCATTTTTGATAAGGGTTTACATCATCCATTTTTGCGAAAAATCGACCAAAATTAAAATTTTGAGCTGTGAATGCCACTCGGTTGGAAATTTTATAACGAATTCAACGATGTATGACATTCTAACAGCAAACCATTTTTCCCAGGGTTTTGATCAAAAAACCGAAATAAAAGTTGATTTTTCGGAATCTCCGGATTTCCGTCTGATTCTTCACCATATCGCGCAGTGCTCGCTGTCATCAATTTTCAAGGGTATTAAAACTAGCTTCCGTTTTCGTTGTAATTGATATTGTTCTTTCGGTTCATTTTGTCTGTATTTGTACAAAGTTAAAGATTAAAAATGACTATTTGCTATGTAAAGTTCCTAGATTAGTCGATATCCAGTTTTCTGAAGGAGCCTTCGATGCCAAAGAGGGATTCGGCATTAACAGGCTGTCCTCGCCTCAGCTTCTCGTTTGTGCCAAAGGACTCCTCCTCCTCGAAGAAAGGTTTGTATTCTAAGAGCTTTGTCCTCCATGTGCTGACAACATCTTGGATTGTTCCATTGCTGCCACCGTACTCGGCTGGCAGACACTCCTTGGGCACATACTTGTAGAGGCTCTCCAGTTTGGAGTGTATGTGGAACTAGGAGGTCAAAGCTAGTTATATTATTCTTATTGCTTGATGTATACTGAAAACTCACCCTTTTTCGTATCTTTTCACTCATCAGACTCTTGGCAATAGACATAAACCTCTCGGCAGCGGCGGGGGCATTGACGAAGTGGAAACCTTTGGGCCTGTAGGGATAGGCCTTATCTCCCAGAACGGCTAGTTTCTTCACCAGCACTGCGTCGAACTGGAATAAGTGACCTGCCCCAACGCCCTTCATATCGATGATCTCCAAAAAGCCCGATATCATGGCATTATCGTCCTCGCGTATCTGAATCTCACCGATCATGGTGTTCACCTGGACGACTTCGGCAATGGAGTACTTCTTGGAGTCGTACTGACCATAGCGGGAGATGTGGATGCGAGGACCATCTGCTTTTAAAGGCTGCGGCAATCGGAGAAGGCAGCTGTAAAATTAAAGGAATCATTAATAGATATCCCGGGTAGTAACCGCTATTAGAACTCACCCTGTTTCCAATATGCTCAATTGCTTCTCACCCACAATGCGATTCTTGTAGAGCTCCGGCACCGCTCCCCTCATCGCATAGAAGTTGTCCAACTTTAGCTTGGTCTTCTCCAAACTGTATTTGCAGCCTCGCAGGAAGGCGACCAGGAACTGGGCATCCTGCCTAGCCTTCAGATGCGGCTGCTTGGAGATCCAAGTGCGCAGCGTTTCGATATCCTCATCGATCCTTTCTGGCACCTCTCCCAGTTCATCCTGCGCCTTTTTGGCCAACTCCGGACTCAGGCTGCGTATGGAATTCGAATGGTCGTCTGACATGGCTACTTTCGACTAGGCTCTCCTTATCACCACCTGCTCGATGCAAAGCATAGGTTTGATTTATTGAAATTTTTCCAGGTGCGATTAGTCAACCGGTTGCTTTTGGCCCCAATTTCCGCTTAGTTATGACAGTAACTGGTGTCTTTGGTGGCTTGATTAGATAGTACCCATGCCATATGGCCAAAAGTTCTTCGGCACTGATGTTCGACAAAGGTTTGGGCCTTGTTTGCGATTAGATTAACATTGCTGCCACTTAAGCAGATATTCCCAGTTGGTCACAACCATAAAAGAACGATTAATTCACTAGACTCTTTAAAGACAAACTTAAGTCGCAAGAACACATATAAAAATCACCTTATCAGAATAGATTATCAGCTAATGCGATGATACACATGTTTGCAAAATACCGGTTAAATTACAGTCATAAATATTGAATAACAAACATGGATAAGGAAACAGAATTGTAATCTATAAGATATAGCTTATCAGTGGGATTCACTGATCTTGTCAAAGATTAAAATTGATTGTGCCTAAACAAAATTTAAACTATCTGGATTAGTCAGAGCCGAATAGATTAAATAGTACTTAACTTGCGGGCTTACGCACTATCGGAAATCAAGAACACACCGCCTTGATGGCAACGAAAGATACCGCGAACACCAATCGGTTTTCAAGTGCTCGTAAACCCAGATATCAGGTTGTCTTGCACCGGGATCAAAAGCAACCGTGCGCTGTCGCGACCTCTACTCACAATTGTCTTTAATTTAATATTAGCTGTACTATATACATATATGCATATGAATGTAGCTATATGTATATTATATATTATACGTGATATATGCCGCCTCCTCGCGAAAATCGAGTGTTGAACCGCTGACTTTGACTGTGGGCGCGCGACTGTCACCGAGTCGCCGTGGAATTGCCGATTTTGGGTATGGTTCTGGGGACGGGACTACATGGAGAACGGTGGAATCGAGGAACTATGGTAAACGTCACGGCTGTGAGACGTGGTGACGCATAAACTGATGACAGTCGAGCACCGATACCCAGGTGGAATCGACCGAGAGATCTCTCATTAAACCCATTTCGGCCCAACCGACCAGCTGGTGACTGTTACACCAAATTAACACCTTGTGTCAAACGGCAGCTAATGCACGGCGATAAGATAAAGTCATTGGAGGCCATTAGCAGCGATGTAATCATTACAATACCACAACGATCGGTGAGGATCAACTCTGCTCCAGATAGCGATGTTACAAAAATTAACCGACAGGATGTGGCCATTTGAATGGACATGCCCCATTTAGAATGTAATATTCGATATTTGATGCATTGAACAGCGTACAAAACTTTCACCTGTTACCCGGCATTTTTATCAGCACACTAACTTTTCAGATTTCCTTCAGACTTGTCTATATGTGAAGATAACAATATTATCGCTAATGATACATTTGTTTATTTCTGTTTTACGATAATACGTAAACGACAAGTTTATATCGGAGAGGGCTCCCATTTTTTGTTTCAATTATTGCTCCGTCATCATGGTAATGTGAAATGAGTGTACATCAGGGTCGTTTAATTTTGGTGGGTGGATATGTTGTTAGGGGTTTTTTGGGCAATCCCTCAGCTTTATTAATAAAAATGGTTTATTTTGTTCGTAATTAGATAACGGTTTGCCCTTTGAATCCCTCCTTAAAATGTGATCAATATCAATGAAAGTTTGCTAATATCCTAACCAGATCACCATGTGCATATACATGTATTAACCTCAAAATGTCAAGAAATAAGAAAACCAATTTATTTTTTTTGCGACGAAATTTTTTTTTATTTATTTATTTAATTTCGTTTCTGTAAAAATGTATATAAAAAGATAGTTTGCAGCTTAAGTATCTTATGTAAATTCAACTAAAAACTAACTCAAGTTTAAGATGTTTGTTTTTGCTGAGTTTATCTTTCGTTAACAATCGCGCTGAATTTATGATAATATCACATTTATATATAAATAATTAGAATGGTCATCAAAACAAGAAATGCGTAGCAGACGGTAAACTTCTGCTTGACAGTTAAAAGCAATGCTATACTTATTTATAAGGCAGTTGTGGTTTCGAATTTCAACATTGGAATTTCGGCGCTACCTGTATGTACTTAAAATGTTATTTATTCCCACTCTTAAATATACCAATAGTTATGGTATAATCTTGTGTATTTATCTTATGTATGTATATGGTATAATAAAAAGCAATACTATACTTATTTATAAGGCAGTTGTGGTTTCGAATTTCGACATTGGAATTTCGATGCTACCTGTATGTACTTAAAACGTTTTTTATTCCCACATTCAAATATGCTAATCGCTATGGTATAATCGTTTATATATTACTTATATATGTATATGGTATATATATCTGGTAAAACAGCCCTGCTATCTGTCCAATAGATGGCGCCAGTGTGCACAATTGGCAAGTGTCCATGAAAAAAATCAGCCAGTGGCGAGTCCTAGATTCGTTCATCTAACTGCGACTCTCACTTGGTTGTTGATTTATTTGTGTTAAATCTAAGGAAAGGCCGCTCGGTGTCGTCTTTGGGGGCATTTCAGTGCCAGACTGTCACACAGTTGCGCTCTGCCATATAGATACTAATAGATCTGCTCTGGTTTATACAATTTTTAAACATTTTCGACGAGTAGAAATAGCTGGATTTTCAATGGGATTTGTAAAGCTCACTAGGCCTACATTTAAACTAAAATAAATTTTGCAGTTAAGCAGATTGCACATAGTTTAATACTATTGTTAAGTGTTTACATATCGAAAAGAATTTTGGGAAAACTAAAGCCAGAACAGATCTTCATATTTCCTTACTTGCAGTTTACAAAAATCTTTTTCGTTATGTTAAATACGAGGCGAACCGTGTTTCTTAATGCTAGAGATCGCATAGCCTAAACCATCCATCCAATCTTAACTCCGCCAGAAGGTGGCGGCGAACAGGAGGATCGGGAGCAGGAAGAGGCGGATCGCCTGCTTGGGGGCTCCGCTCCTCCCCGTCTCCTCGCTGTCATCGCCCTCGTTCTCCCCCGAAACCAAGGACGCAGTCCATCGTTGCTCATCGTCCACCTCGTTGATACTCCGGGCGCACCGCATCCATTTCCGCGACGACAATTTGGCCCTGGCGTGGGCCACTGTCATGCGGTCGTCGTTGAACTCCCAGTAGCCCAGGTTCTTGAAGAAGTACGTCTTGCGATCGGTGTACTGGAAGGCCGCGTCGATGTTGTAGCCCACTCCCGACCAGATGCTCATGTCCCTTGGATAATCCAGCTCCACCTGACCCGTGTACTCATCGATGCGCCAGTAGAGAGTGCCGCTGGTCAGGTAGGTCCGATTGTTGTGGCCCCAAACGAAGGAGGCGTCTATGTGGGTCAGAATGGGCGGCAGACCCAGGCTGGCCAGTGGTTTCGGGTAGCCAGGAGCCAGAGTCACCGAGTTGAACACATAATACTCTCTACCTGCGGGGGGAATAGAAAAATAATTGTTAAGTGTGGAAATTTGTCTTAATCAACATTTTATCAGTTTGTGAAAGTAAAAAAGGATTATAAAGACTCGTTTAAACATAAAAACATTTTGTTCACTCCAAAACATATAGAAAATTTAAAGTTTTGAATAATAAATATCTAGTCAGTTTAAATTAAAATTAAATTAAAATGGGAACTGAAAAAACTTTGTTTACTTACCAATGAAAAACACAATCTGCCCCTTTTTTTCATATACCGCATCCACCTTGGTGAGGTTTACGGGTAGAGCAGCCCAGTGCCTTCTGGTCTCCGTGGGATAACCCGGATACAAGCCATTGCTTCCGATTCGCCAAAGGTACTGTATAGGGATGGGTTATCATTTGATATGGATATTGTTGGGTTTAAAAACTTACCGGTCCCCGGAAAATGAACAGTTCGCCGCGAATCATCGAAATGGCATCGTAGTAGGTCATGCAGGTGTCCGGCTTGAGTTGACGTGGCTTGAGGTGGTTGTGCCTGTGTCCTCCAGTGGGATTTGGCCGGGTAGTGGGTCTCGGGGTGGTTATGGTTCGGGTAGTTACTGGTTGGCGGATCCTATTTCGCTCTCGAATCTTACGCTCCCTCTCCTGACGATCCCTCTCCTGACGATCCCACTCCTGTCGCTCCCGCTCCAGCTGCTGTTGCTTCCTCTCCCAATGGATCTTCCGCTCCTGTTCCTGCCGACGATTCTCCTGCTCCTGCCACTCCTGCCGCTGACGGTTCTCCTCATCCTGACGCCTCCGCTCCAGCTCCTGCTCCTGACGCTCCCTTTCGCGATCGCGTTCCTTATTGGGATTACTGGTGGGATTTTGCCGGGGTCTGTAGACAGGTTTCTCTGGGTAAAAGCGTAACGGGCGCATGGTCGTGGTCGTGGTGGTTGTGGTCGAGGGCGTGGTGCGAGGCCTGTAGGGCCCCCAAGTCTTCTCCTTCGAGCCGTACAACTCCTGGATGCCAAGTCGATCGTCGTCGGGCAGGTTGCCATCCAGCTCAATGTTCTGGTACCAGGGAAACATGACCGCACTCTCGTTCGAGGAATGGCTCAGACCCAGCGAATGACCCAGTTCGTGCATGGCCACGCTCAGAAAATTGGTTCCTGCAACGACAGGACACGGAATGCAACATAAATACGCTGACTGGTTAATGGCGGTCCAAAAACGATGGCAGGGGTAGGGGAGGGGGGTTAAGATGGGTTCGTCGCCTTGACGACATTGTAAGTGGCATAAAAATGGCGACGCTTGCAACATTTTAAAATGGCTGCCAACGTCACGCGTCATGCTGACAATTTTTTATTGGCATTAAAAACCATTAAAAATGCCGAAGCACTGTTCTGGGGTCTGTGTGTTTCTTGGGGGTTTTCGGGGTCTGGACTGACGATTTATTGTGCTAAATTACAAAACGCCAGCGGCCGGCTGCAGGCATCGCGTCGCCAGTCAAAGTCTCCTCTCCCATTTGCTCCTGGGTTCCGGATTTGGCCTTCTTCCCATCCCGACTCATTCCCCACCGCAACGTATGTAGCATTTATTGATTTTGTATGCGTGTGGTTTCGCTTTTGCACGCCCTACACTTACAGAAAATTTATATAATATTTATGGCAGTAATATGAAGAACAAAACAATATACTGATTGCCAAATGTAACAAAAAATAGTTGACAATAATACGAAAAAAAATATATCTATAATTCTAATAATTCTTTGTATAATTCTCAACTATTTTTTGTTTCGTTTGGCAATCAGTTTATTGTTTTTTTCTTCATATGATTAAATCTATTTAAATTTGTTTTCCTTTTATTAAATCTATTGAACTTTTAATTCACCATTTTATTTGCAGATTTGGTTATTATTTAAATTTTTTGTAACATCTAAAAAATAATATTTAAAAGAAGAAAGGCCCTCTTATAAATGTTTTTATTTCTGAATTCCTAAAAATATTCCTTTATATGTAGAGATTTTTAAGCTGATCAGTTTTCAAGGTCCTTTATGCTTTTGGTGCATCCTTTTTTCCCCGAGTGTATACCCAAAAACGCCACAGACCACACTGCGCCGCGAAACCCTAATGCAATCTAATGCAATTAATTCACTTCAAAAGTTGAACGCAATTATGTGGCATGGCTAACTGCGTTGATGAACTGCACCCAGACCATCCCCATACCCACCGCGATGATCCTCGGAATTGCCATCGAAGTTCCAGGTCTCGTCCGCATCGAAGTGGGCATCTCCGCCTCGGTCGTCGCCGGGATAGAAGGCGTGGGCCAGCACCTGACCAGGTCCATCGAATTTATAGCCATCGCCATGGCCGAGCCTGGAAAAAGGAAATGGCCAGAGAGCCAGGATTAGTCCTGTGTTTTCCGAGAATTACGAGCATGGCCAGGGGGAAATCATATTCACAGCTTATCTAAAAACAAGCAGCTCCGACATAAACTCTTTGATTCGAACGGAGTTTAGAGCTCTTCACATGCCCATCGACTTTGTCATCGGTGGCATTTCATCATCGCCGTCGTTCCATGGATTTAATACTCGGCTTATTTATCGTTCGCCTGGTTTTAAGTGCAATTTTATGTGCGTTTGTTTATGGCACTAAAGACTCGCTTTTTATGATCTCCCCACCTACCGTGCTCGAGTAACCATGCATCCCCAATCCCCCCCGTAGATTGTTGAGTATACGCACCGTGCAAAGAGTATCTGTATGTCGGCCTGGTCACTGTAGACCTCGCGGAAAGTCAGCTTCGAGTTGTTCTCCCAAACGCCCAGGGCTCGCTTCACATTCTCGCGGATTTTGTCGGCATTGGGCATCGTCTGGTTGACCCGGCTGCAAAGGAAGAAGGAGAAACATGATATCAGCATGCTAAGATATTCCACTTTGTAAGGATTCCCTCTTTTGCATAATCCCAAGCGCCAGAGAAAGTTTCCCACACGCACACAGTACGAAAATGTACATAATACCATGATCATTCTGACGATTTTTCATTACATTTTGAACATGATATCTATATTGTAATTGGATATTATGATTTAAAAATAATTTTCAAATTATATGTATTATTTGGTTTCTGGTGATATAAAATATTAGATATAGAGTCCCCTTTTTTTCCTGTGCATGTCTTGTAGGCCCTGTGTCTTTGTCTTATCATGGAATATTTTGCAAACCGCTAATATGGTGGCCAGTGCCAACTTTCACCCACCCACACACTCCACTTTCACTTTGTCATGCTAAAAGTTTCGCTCACTTAAAGACATGGGCGGGCCGGACTTTGGTGGTTTTCACTTAGTTTAGTATTTTGTAAATTCAGCGCAAAGTTTGGCAAACACACACACAAAGTACGGAACCGTACCTGGTAACTCGAATGGAAGGAAACCGCAGCGGGTTTGGCTTTTGGGGACAACTCTCCACTGGCGACTTTGCCCGATTTCCGTCAGCAAAGTTTTCACCTCCCTTCGTTCCGTTCGAGGCAAACTGGGATATCTGTGTGCTGCTGCCGTGTTTCCGCATTTTATGCAAATTAGTTATGTTTCTTTTATGCCGAACACCGGACCCCGGACCCGTCTGTTGCTGTTAACTAACGTAGAAAAAATACAGGGCCGAAAGTTGATCCTTGTTTGCGGTTTACCCAGGACCTCTTGCTTGCCTTTCTGCCGTATGCTTTCTTCTTCCCAATTTGCCAGGCTATTTTTTCGCTTTTCCCCTGATTTGACTTTTTGCCCATCTTCTCTTGGCCAGGATTCTCTAGGTGCGTGTTGTCCTTCAATATGCATTGAGGCATTTAGCCACTTGCAGCCAGAGTGATCGGTTCACTTAAAAGGCACAGCCTTGTTGTCCCTTCTCTTTGCCAAACTGCTTCGTTTTCAATTACATTTTTTCGAGCCATTAAGCCAAGGCACATGCAGATTGCTTGCCTTCCAATAGATATTGGTGAGGGAACGAGAAACTCAGAACTGTCAAAGTTAATAAACAAAAGGGGCTAACAAATGTCTTTTATTTATTTCTTACATTGCAGGTAGATTGCCTTATCTGTATGGTTCAAAAATGTGAATTCAATTTATTGATACATATACAAATATTTTTTAATTTGATGAGTTTTTGTATTATCTTCTATATTTTGACTATTAAAAGTTCTCAATAATGCTAAACAAATGAAAGTTAAATAACTTACATCCTAAGCATTAGAAAATCACGATATTTAAATGTTGATTTATTTAAATTTTACAATTATTATAATTCCTACTATAGATTTTATCTGCATTATTCTTTATTATTTCTTGCATTGAAATTGACTGTCAATTATCTTTATATACCTTTAAATACTATTTGTAAGATGTTGGGAAGTCTAAGATGCGAAACTTTCTTTTGAAAGTGTCTTTATTTCTTCTTGATTTTTTATTAGAAGGGAATCCAAGGGCTCAGCGAAGTTCAGCTTGCACTCATCTCTTGGAAACCAGCTTACTTAGGGCACACACATCCTGCGAAAACATCTTTGGGCGCACGTAGCGTCAACTGCCGCATGCCACTTGACCTGCCACATGGACAAGGGACCTTTGGACAGGCTAAAACTTAAACCCGAACTCTGACTCTGACTCTGACTGCTATTTCGACTGTATGTCCAACTTCTGCCGTTGGCCAAACTGAATCACCGTGTCGCAGTTCATTTCCATCGCTCGACAAAAACGTGCTCAATTGCAACGCCATTTGTTTGCTCGGCTGTTGATCTGTTGGGCCCAAGCCTTTTGGGTTTCGGATTTGGAATGGGAATGGGAGTGGGATTGGCCATGGGAATGGGTATGGCAATGGAACTAGAGACCGTTTGTCGTTTGCTGTTTGCGCAGAGCTTGTTGCTTGCCAGGGTAAATTAACTCAAGCCGTCCCCCGTTTGCCACCGACTGTCTAATCCCCCGTTTGTTGCAACACTCCGAATACGACTGCGACTACGACTACAACTCCGACTGGCGACTGGCGACCCTTTGTCGTGCTAATTCTGTTGCTGCCGCCTTTGGATTTAAATGCAAACCGCTGCAGTGCATCCGGTCACGTAGCCATTTGCAGTTGCAACAGCCCCACTGACGCAGCTTGACCTCTGTTTGTCTTTGCCATGTCACTCTGTGTGCCCAGCATTTAAATTATTATGAACCCGACGGGCGGCAGGACGTTTTCCGGGCTTTTCCGGGGCTTCACCGGGGTGAGTACGGAAAAGCGGAACGTGCACTCCGGTTTCGAGCGGGGGGTACCACTACCTGGTCATCTGGGAAAACGTGTGCTTCAGCCAATTTGTAGCCTTACACGTAAAACAAACTGAACAATTAGCCAAATGGATGGGAGCTCACTCTCTATGGCCTGTGAATAACAAAAGAAAATCATTTGGCTGCGTTTGCTGCGGGACCTTCGTGCTGGCCAACAATCAGTTCTTGGCTACCAACAGCCGAATGTTTTTAAAACTAATTCTTTAGGCATTGTAAATGCCATTCCTGACCCAGAAGTCTCTATTTATAAATAATAAATCGTTTTTCAAAACCTTAAATTACACTTAATGTAGCTTATATAAAAGCGAAACATTCTTAATGCAAAATTTCTCAATGTAAAATAATGTTATATATTGTAACTTAATAGAAAACGTTGCTTCTAATTTTTAGGATTCTATTGAACTGAGATATTAATAAAATAAGCTTAATAAAGTAAACAAACTCGCAGCTTAACACTAATAATTAGTAAATGCATTTTCATCTCATTGCTGTTTTACTGTGTTTTTCGGCATTTTAAAGAGAATTCAGGAAAATCCTAAAATTGCAGTCACTAAAGTGTTTCGGGATGCAAAATAACTTGATTTTGCTGATGGTAAAATAAATTTGTATTGCCCGACTTGGCTAAATATCAAGTGCGGTAATCAAAAGGCTAAGCCTGTTTCCAAGCCTTTCATATTATCACCGCAGGCAAATCCTTGGCCAGATTTTCCTGTTCATCTCCTGCGATGTCGCCATTACGCCAACCCGTGACAACTGAAGCCAGTCGTGGTGGCAATATATAAAAGGGGGCACATACATGCGAATTTTGATTAAAATTGCACCGGGACAGGAGAGGCCAGGATAAGAGGTATCCTCGCAGTCTGCCGTCTGTCGATGGCAATTGATTGAATTGAGCACATCGAGCCATGAAATGTTTGTCCGCAGGCTAACAACTAAATCACCGTCGGCAGTCGGGAAAGCTTTGCATGAAGTCGGCACTAAGTCATGGCCAAAATAGCGAAGGCGGTCAGGTGGTGGGGGGCGTGGTCGTAGCCCTACCCGTACCCGTACCCGGAATGAAGATGCCGTAATGGAAAAGGCCGGAGGCTCAGACAACGGCTGCGGGCATTGAATTTTGCAATTTCTCCTCAATCGCATAGATTTTTCTTCCGCGCAGAGACAATTTCGTGCACATTTTACTCGAGTTTTCCTGCCATCAACTTCCGCTGAAAGTTTTTCCAGTTTTTTTTTTTTTTTTTTTTTTAGATATTCGCTTTGTTGTCAGACAGCTATCGAAAAAGTTTCCCCATGTTTGTGATGCTGCTGCTGCTGCAGCCAGCAAAATGAGTTTATTTTTTGCTTAATTTCGCACAAATTAAAACGCTTGGAAAATAAGAAATCTTCCATTTTGGAAATTTTTCCTTGTCGTCGAGCGAAAACTTTGTTCCGTCTTTAAATTTCTAATATACAGAGGATACTTCGAGTCAATTACATAACTCTCGTTGCGAGGTTTCTCATAAATAACCAAAAGCTCAGCTGGACGCACTTCGACACGAGCTGGCAAAGTGCTGCCGGCTAGAATTTTACCCGAAAGTGCAAAGTGGCAGGAGCATGTCTCATAAGTGTCGAGCTCAAGTTGGTTTACCCCGGGTATTTACAGCCAAAGAGCCACTGAATCGGGGTTAATTTAAAGCCGACAGAGAAACTTTTCCAAGGCCTTAAAGCCTGCCCAGAATTTCGGGGTTAGCTCTTTTACTTTTGTTCACCTGTTTTGGGGTCGCAAAATCTCTACTCCGTCCCATCGACAAACATAATTATGCTTAACCGTCTGCTCAACATTAAAAATGTAAGCCTTTGTTATGCAATGTGTGTGTGTGTGTGGGCCAAAAAGGGTTTTGACACCGAGTGGGGGAGGGGAAAACTCAATAAAATAGCTTAAAAGCAGGCCAACCAACCGGCTTTGTCTTGAAATAATAGCCCGGACAGACTGTCCGGCTGGGTTTTACGTGGTTTTCCCCCCTCAGATTTTGGCCGAAAGCCACAAAAAACCCACACGCAACGAGGAAAACAAATGACTTTGCATCTTGTGTTGTCATAACAAATTTAATTAATAAATAATCGCAATTTAGCCACAGGAGTAATAACGAAAAAAAGTACGAGAGAGTAATAAATGGAAATTTGCCATTAGCCAGAGATGTTGGAAATTGACAGAGTCTCCAAACGTATGTATATATACAAAATATATCCAAGCCACTTCCCAGTGACAAGTCTCAAGTGCTTAAAATTGCAAATGTTATTTTCTCATAGAGAGCACACAACCAGACTGACGACCGACGACCGACACATGCGGGATGCCAAAGGCCCCAAAAAGTAAATATTTGCCACAAGAAGCTGCCCGGAGTATGCCATCCCATCCCCCCATACACAAATTTTCCCACCGGAGAAGGAAATCCAGGAGTGGAGGACAGCAGCAGGAGAAGCCTTCGAGTTCCGGAGCTCGGCGATATCAAATGGCATGCCTCCTCCTGCGAATGCCATATGCACTTATGAATTTATTGCCCAAAATGATTCTTGCCATTAAGCATTATTAAATTGACA